CCCGACGCGAGGCCGGCCGCGCCCGCAGGCGGCAGACGAGGCGGCCAGCGCGCAGGCGCTGTGCATGCGATCACGGGCAGCGGCGCGCCTGATGCCGCCCGCCTGGCTGCCGCCGACTGCCGCCTCGGGTGAAGAGGTGTACCGGGGGGGAGGAGCCGGCTCCTGCGGAGACCCCAGCAAATAGGCTTGATAGGGTGGGTTGCACACGAGGAATCACTGTAAGGACTTCGCGGATAGAATGTGGTGGAGCGGGTGTTAGACAGCGACGTGTTCTGATTCTGATCGGAATGTGGCGAGTAAATCTGAATCAAACCGACGGCAGAAAATAAGTGACGGATCTGCGTCCCGCAGAATAGGGCCCATCGCCTACGGCAGTCGCCCATCGGCCCATAAGGCCCATCGCCCATGGCATACAAATACAAATCAACAGGCCAGAGGTCGTTGTTAGGTCTATACCAATAAAGACCCCTCAAAGCCATTACACCAAAAGGAAGAAACGAGGTCGCGCCCAATGAGGTCAGATGCAAATATGCCCGTTGACTGGAATGCCACAGAGGTCGCAGAGGTCAGCGGAGGCACCCGTCGGCCAAAAGGTCAACTGGGCCGTTGAAAATGCCCGTCGGTCAGAAAGCGTTGCGTCAGCAGCAATTGTCTGGAGATCGTCACCCATGAACATGCCTTTCATCACAAGACAACAGCATGTTGGAGAGTTACTGATGAGATGACGCCTGCAAAACCAGCCGGGACCCCAGCGGAGAGAGAGTACACAGTCCGCACCAGCTAGGAACCCAGCTGAGAGGGGGGACACAGTCCGCACCAGCTGGGAACCCAGCGGAGAGAGAGTACACAGCCCGCACCAGCCGGGGGCCCAGCGGAGAGGCAGGCTACAGTGCCACCGGACAGAGCTCAGAGAGCCCATCGGAGAGGCAGAGCACAGTCCCAAGCTGGAAAGGACAACGTCCTCCGAGGACTCCGTAATATCCCCACGTGCTGCAGCATCTGGGGCAGCATGATCTGCAGCAGCAATGGCTACCTAACGTAGAGCATCAAAGCGTGACCAAGCGGGGCTAGCGGCACGACCGAAGGGAGTTAAAGGTACATCTCAGAACTCCTGGCAGCATGTCCAGGAGCATCCCCACCCCGACCCTGGAGCGTCCGCCGCATAAACCCAGAGCATCCGCGACACCTTCAACCAACGTCGGCGGTGCGGTCCGGCACCATCGCCAGACGCATGACGACCCACGGCGTCATCTGCTCCCCAGCCCGGCGTCGTCTGCCCCGCCGCCAGACTCGAACGCTGGACGCCGGCTGTCGTCGACATGGCACTGGTCGGTCATCTGCCGGGCGGCTCGGACGGCGGCGGCCGCGTGCGGTCGCCGGGCGGCGCGTGCCGCCGGCCGCGGGCGGTCGCCTGTCGCGGTGCGGCCGGCCCCGTGAGCCGGTGACAAATGACTGGGTAAAGCCGGGCCGGAGAGCTGCCCGCGCGCGGTCCGATCGGGGCCGGCCAGCTGTCGCGAGCGAGCCGGCCGGCCTGATGGCCGTCTGCGGCCGCCGGTCAGACTCTGGCTCTGACTTCGACTCGGACTCTGACTCTGGCATGACTCTAACTCTGACTCCAACCGCCATGACTTGCGTACCGCCGGCTCAGTTTCAGGCTTCGACACGGGTTCAAACTCTGATTCACGGTGCACGTGGACCGCTACCGCGGGCAAGGCGACTTCCGAGAGACCGATTGAATGACCGGTGCGACCCGCGAACGAACAGATAGCACACATTTATCAAGCCGGCACTGACAGAGGTCAATGTGCACACATGTGACAAGATATACGGCGGCAAGAGCATGTGACGGATCCTCGCTAAATATGGCTGTTTGGGTGGAAGCGTAGCATTCTCGACATCCATAAGCGCCAGCCAATCAGACAAGATGACTGAGCTCTCGACCATGCATTAACTCAGAGCTCGTTGGCGGTGAAAGGCGAAATTTTACAGATATTTCCGACGCCAACACCGATTTTTATCACATCACTGATGCGGGTATTAATGCTTCAACTTGTTCAAAATTAGGTGGCATGATTATCCAGAATTGGCCTGTGTGATCTAGTTTATAGAAATCACATTTTAACAGTCACGTCTCAGTGACAAGAACAGCAAATAATTGCTCCTTCAAAATTTGTTCATAACCCTTCACATGCAGCAACGCGGAAAAAGCTTGTGAGGTTCGGTAGTCAATCCAACGGATGGCTGCAGGAACTGCACGGAAAATGCGAACGTAGCATCGCATAGTGGTGAAAAAACTGCTAACTTGCATACATTACTCACGAACTCCTGACAACTGCAGCACACATCGGTGAAGCTTGTGGGATGGGGGCGGGTGCAGGGTGTGCAAGCAAAGGAGTGGCGTGTCGCGTCGTCTGAGTGAATATGACGCTGGTCTCTACACATGGTGAGCTTTGATCACGGAGACATCGCGTGTTTCGCATCTTCGCTAGGTTCCAATGTCGAATAACGACAACAGAGACCGACCGAAGAAAAGAGGCATTCATACCAACGAAGTGAAACACTTCCCTCCTTTCGCTATAGGGTTCGTCCAGGCTCCATATCATCTTGCTGGCACACGCTTCTATAATCGCGCAAAAATTCAGTGTTTTCACTTATCTAAAAGAGTGACGAATAATCGCATAATGAGTTGGGTAAATTCATTAACTAGCGACTTGCTATACCAGCTGGCGACCAGATGCCAGCTTCCGATAAATCATTGCCCGGTTGTGAGACGACGACCCGGTTGTATTCCGGAAGAAGGTTTTTTGATTTGGCCAGGTATTTTGAGCATGGCACCTTATTCGAACACGACAGTGGCGGCGTGGTTGCCTTCATCCTGGACTAGATGCAGTATTCATCACACTTCACATGACTAAGAATGCGATTAAAAAAAAATAGGTTCTGGTTTACTGGCATGGCTGAATTGTTACTGGAATGAAAATTATAGCAATCACCTTAAAGGCGTTTCACAATGAACGTGGGCTTTATTCTAAAGTTTAGATTTGTTACATGTTGCATTTACAAATATACAGGTATATATACGACAATTTTGGTGAACACATCTTTACCTTTGTCCAGCTCCCCAGTGCATGCGCATTGGAGAGCCTGGACATGCAGATTGATGTCCGCGTATGCAAGTCAATGCCTCCTATTAAGGTACACTGGGATGTGAAGGTCTGCTGCAATATTGTCAGTAATGTAACCACTGTCTGTTGTTCGGCAAGACCAGTCATGTACCATTACCGCGACTAGCGAAGTATTCCCGCGATTCTCCTTCTACGTGGGCTTGATTGTGTGTGCGTGCGTGTCTGCTTGGGCTGAAGTGGTGGTCTTTCCTCACTCGGACGACTTTTCAGCACCGGAAAATGCAGTTTGTCACAGCGGTCTCCTGCTAGATGACGTCACGCTGCTGCCTCCTCAACCCGGTAAACGGGTATAAACTGTGATCAGATCGTGTCAAGGGTCCTTCTCATAGGCCGATAACACGACAATGACATCATCGAATGCTATGGACCAAGGGCTATGTCTTCTTATCAACAGCGTTATCCACAAAAAAACTTCGCTCAAACTCAGATGCATCTTTCTAGTCTGGTTCCAAGCACGACTATGACAAAAGGGTCGCGATTGAAGTAAAAAAACAACGGGCGAAACGCTCCTGCCTTAACACGTTATGCCTTACTTCCCCCAAAACTATTGCATAATAATTACGGCAGAACTATATCAACAACACGCCATACAGCCACGGGCTGGGCGCGGTCGTGGCCACGCCATGAACGATGTGCATTTGTTTTGTTGGACACCGCAGCGGCAAATGATGTTGCTGCCCGTATAAGAGCAACAATTTACCGGAATATAGCCTAACCTAACCTAACCTAACCTAACCTAACCTAACCTAACCTAAGGAGGTGTCGGTAGTGTAGTGGTTAAGGCGTCTGCGTTAATCACTGCGCGTCTGGGGAACCAGAGGTACGGGGTTCGATTCCCCGCGGTGCCCGCCCTTCCTGCCAGGGTGAGAAGTAGGCGACACCATATAGCCTCAGCAGCTGGGTGCATCGTAAAACCCCAATGACATGACATGCCCCAACCCCAACCCCAGCCCCAACCCCAAACCCAACCTTTACTCTAACCCCAACCTTACCGCTCCTCCTACTCCTGTTCCCACTCTTTCTCATGCACTACTCCTACTCCTATCCCTTCTTGTTCTTCTACCCCTTTCTCTTGCTACCGCGACAGAAGGCCTCGCTCCATCATCAGCCATCGCCATCTTTTGACGCATCGGTGTACTGTGAACGCTCTCGCCGATATGAGATCGTAAATACTTTATTTGCAATGGTAAGATTATAAAATATCGCTGTTTTCCGATACTGGTTGGTATATTGTGGCCTGAAGGAGCTGCGTGAAGTCGTCTTACAACGATTGCTGTATTATGATAGGCGGCACGAACCTCGATTTAAGCTACGGAAAGAAGTGTGATCGAGATTGTGACTAACTCTGAATCGTGTTAATACCCTAGACTACGATCGCTACCGGCACCATACAGGGACCAGATTACAACCACGTCCACGATGCGATCTTGCAACTGACTGACATAGTGACTCCGGTCTGTACTGCGCATTCAAAAGTTCACTCAGCCAAATAGTGACAACGACTGACGTAAGCACTACGCGAATCCCTGTTATCGGCGGCAGTTGGCGCCACAGGTGTGAAACAGCGAGGGGGGATGGGAGGGATCTCACGGAGAACGGATATGCGAACCGATCGAATATATACACATCCTCAGGACTTTAGGTTCCAATCATACACTGCCTGGTCGCACACTGATACAATCATGCCGATACGCGGCGGCATAGAACTTCTGGTGAACAGTGTCCAAACTGGATTGCACAAGGCTGTCCCCCGACTGCTCCCCCCGTTGGCGCGTCACGTGACCGAGAGACGGCGCGACGGCCGCCGGCACTCACCTTCTTCTGAGCCTCGGCGGCGAAGCCGGACTTGGTGGCGCGGTTCGGGACGTTGCTCATGATGGTGGTGGGTCGGGCTAGCGATAGGCGCACGTACAGGCGGGCGGTCCGGCGGGAGTGGCGGTGGGCGCATGGGCGGCGGCGGCGGCCCCGCCGCGCAGGCAGAGACACCATGCGGCGGATATCGGAAACTGTCCGAGCGCGGCAGATGGGGGCTTTGACACACCCGGGCGAGAAAGCGGTGCGTGTAAAAGGGAGCTGATGAATCGAATGTCAACTGGACAGTTGGACCTTAACGTTTTATTGCCACTTGTGCTGGATTCGAAGCGAGCGCGCCAGCGATTGTGTCCAGTGACTTCCGGTAAAAATCCTCTGCTTTATAATGTTTTATCAACTAATGTTTTCCAAGGATCCTTCCACGATCTTGTATAGAGTGCCTTTTGTTTTAGAAATCGGAACATGGCACCTGTCGATCATGGAAGTTTGTATAGGTTTGGGGGCCACTGCCCCCTCAATGTTGGGCTGGGCCCACCAATGTTGAGCTGAGCCCCCGCATTGTTGGGCTGGGTTCCCGCAATTTGGCTGGGGCCCCGCACAAAGGATAACGCCGTTCCCAATCCTCTACCAATCTTTTGAAACCAAAAATTATAGTTGGTTTTATCTAAAAATTTGGCAGCATGAGCATGAATTTGAAGTTTACACTTATATTTGTACGCATCCCCTTAAGATGTGGAGAATCAAAATACTCAGCTATGTGGTTCCAAAGGTCCCTTGTGTGCTGTGCCGGTGTTTTTACTGAGGCGCAACAGCGTGTATGTAGAGATGGTGCAGGGGCACGCGTCCCTCCCCCTGGGTTCGCGAGCCCCATCAGGCCCCCCGGGAACTACGATCAAGGGCCCGATTTAAGCGCCCAAAGGGCCGGTAAGGCCGGCCGGAGGTCGTATTCAGGGGTTTCGGCGGGACGGGTACACCAATGCCCGCCGGAGGGCCCTGCGCACTGATCAGGGCCGCTAAACCGATGACGGCCCATCTGTCGGTCAGGCACCGCCAGTGACGCACAGTCGGCTCCGTGACGACCAAGGCTCCTTGGCCGCTGGGGAGTCGCATTGCCTGCTCAGAGCCATGCGTGCTAAGGGCCCCTCCGACCGTCCAGGGGCCGTTTTAGTTGCTCAGGGCCTTTCGGGCTACTGTGGGGGCATTCGGGTCGTTGAGGAGCCCCTTGCTGGTGGTACTCTCGTCTGACTGCTCAGAGAGATAGGGATGGAACGCCGGATGTTATAGGGTATTTTGTTTTGGTTGGACCCTCTGGCACAGAAGGAGGTATCAAAGCGGCCACAGTGATGTCACGGAAGGGCCCCGTGCCAGTCAGGGGGCCCAGCACCGGACAGAACCCTCCAACCATTTCATCCAGGGCCCAAATGCGTCTAACTGGGGTCCTTATGCCATCTATAGGTCCCGCTACGCTAGGGACACAGATGGGACTAAGGGACTTTTTCACGTCGGTGAGGCGTCCCTGGGTCCATCCAGGATCAATCGTCCGGGTCAAAAGGGCTTCGGCATCAGGGAAAGAACCAATGTATCATGCACCCTTCCGAGGGCCTCCGAACTGATCAGGGATCCGGTCCACGTGTCGCCAGGATAGTATTAGGAAGGCAGTCCCAAATGTGACGGAAAGGCCCCCTCACCCCAATCAAAAATGTTTTGGAGCCCTAGTCCTGACTGAATAGTCCCTATTGGACTCTGGCTGTGGGAGTCGGGGGTGGGGAGAGGGGGGGGGGGGCGAGGGACTCAGAGACTCCATGTGTGGGCTCTTTTCGGCTCAAAGATTGCGACATAATGATCATAGTGAATGAGGAGATCAAACAAAACATGCCGAACAGAAGTTCAGACAATATCAAGGCAATGTCTGGCTGCCCAGCAAGCCCCCCATCTGATAAAATCGTGAGCCCGCTCTGGCTGCCCAACGGAGAATTCCTGGCTGTCAAGCGCACTGTTCGTATGGGCCTTTGTCGCTACTGAGAGCTCCACGACCTTTCAAACTCCCGCTGGACACTAAGGGACCTCGGAACTAGTGGGGGGGGGGGGGGGGCGTATTGGCCGCTCAGGAACCTTTAGTGACGCAGGCAGGGGAATGTACAGGAGGCACGCAACTTACCTCCTAGGACCTCTCGGAACTGACGCTCAAGAACCCGGGTTGAGACCCCGAGGGTCCCGACGGACTCACCGGAGGTCTTTAAGTGTCCCCTTAAATGCCTGTCAGAAATCCCTCTGCGCCCATCTCGGGTCCCAGAGTAAGTTGACGAGGGTCCTTGCGTCGATTAGGCACCATCAGTACCAAGCAGTCAGCTCCGTTTTGGTCTGGGCCTGAGGGTCCATTTTCGAAGCAGGAACAAGACCGGGCGTCTGATTTGCGTTTGTCGGGGCCCCTGAAACCATAGCAGGCACGGTGTTGGACAGGGGCAGCGTGCTTACCAGCAGATCCTATGGTAGCAAGGTGCCGCGAGTCGGGCAGGAGCAGTGTTCAAGGGGCCCGAAGATGAGCCCGAAGGGTCCCTCGGAATCGACGATTAGAAGCCCAATTTGGGGACCGCACTCAAAGGCCAGCTAGAGGGCTCTTTGCGTCGATCATGGGTCCCCTGAGCCGATGAGGGCCTCTTCATCGGTCAGGCACCAGCAGTGGGCTCCGTGCCGGTATGAAACTTGTGGACTCGGTTCACCAGTATGGACGAGACAGGTGTCCGATATTTGCATTGGTCGGAGCCACTTAAACAATGGGGGATGTCTGCGTCTGGCAGGGCCCACAGTGCCTAATAGGGGTTCTTGTATCTGCAAGGAGCCCCGAGATGGCCAGTGGAACGATTACTGAACAGGGGCACGGACGGCACCCCGAATGTCAGAGGGCCCTTACGTTGGTCGGGGTCCCCTGTTAATGAAATGAATGAAAATGTAAGAACTTCTGAGAAGAGCTCACAATGAACACATGGTGTCAGTCAGGGGCCAGTATCGGACGGGCCCTGCGCACCATTTCAACCAGGTGCTCGTCACATCGAACTGAAGCCTCTTTGCCAATTGTTGGACCCTCTGCGGCGATAAGGGATCTCTTCGCGGCAATGAAAGCCCCTGCGTCCATCCGGGACCAGCTTCCAGGGTCAGAGGGCCTCACACGTTAGTGAGGAGACCAATGCACGATGTTTCCCTCTAAAGACATCCGAATGGCTTGGTTGCCTGGCTTTCTGTGTGGTCAGAATAGTAGCCAGCAAGCGCCCCGCGCGGGGACGGAGAAGTCATTCAGCCCCTGGCTGGGAAAGTTAATGTGCCCCCTAGTGTGCTACCTACGGCGCCCTTGCCCGGAAAAGGTAAGGGATCTCCTAAGCAGTAAATAGAGTGGGTAGAAATGAAGTTAGGCATAAAAAAGTCAACTCATGTTTGCCTGATGATATCCGCTCCCATACAGAATCGACAAGCGAAACAAATTACGCAAGTGGAATTGGAGCCCGCGTGCTCGCAGTCTTGTGACTAATAACACTGATGGTCTGGGTTGCAGTTTCCGCCGAGCCGAGCGTAAGTGCCCGTCGCAGTTGACGTCAGACGGCGGACGCCGGACGAGCAAGACCGACAGCCGTGAAATAATGCTGCCGGAAGTCTTCCACAATTCATTCGTACCGTTCTCAGATAAGACGTGCCGTATTTTTCACCTGTATACTTATGAGCGTTTCCTCGAGACAGCTTGACAGTTACAGCAATACGAAAAGTAAAGACTTTGCCGTTACTTTTCCAGCTCTGCCACCAGCCTCCAGCTCCAGCTCGCGGCGCTGTAGATGCCGGTTCGTTCTGGTGATCTAACTAAAAAGGATTAATCCTATGATTTACCTAGTCCTGATTGCTATCGGTTTGGAAAGAGTCTTGTGAAATGTATGGCGCCAGCACCTTATTCCATGCAGTCATTTACCGCCTGGTTTCTTCAGTTTATTGACTTCAAAATAGGAAACGAAGGAAGCCGCATCTTCCGCTAGCTTTTGTCTTCTGCTTACGTTAAAAAGGTAAAAAGAAATAATGAGACAAAGAAATTCATGCCCCCTCAAACTCAAGTAGGCCATATTCGGTGAATTTTGTTTAGGGGATTTCACCAACAGGGATCCTTTTATCAATCCTGCGCATTTTCCTCCATGTATCCAGGTTTGCTCATGCGCAGTTTTAGCTGTTCAAACCCCTCCTGCCTACAGAGGACCCCTCTGGGCAGCGAGGGGTTCCTGGCCGGAGGCGTTTCCTGTAACTGTTTGTGCGGTTCACGGACCGTCCGTAGGTCCTGCGGTCACCGCTGGGCACCTTTAATTGCTCAGAGGCCCTTCTGGCCATCTTAGTACTCCTATGGCTTGTCAGGGTCCACTGGTCTCAGAACGTCCCCCCCCCCCCCTCCCCAGGGCCCGGAAAACCTAACGGGCCGTTTGTCTCGAGCGTAGTGTTCCGAGGAGCTCAAAGCGAGGTCCGGAGGTAATCCAAAGCGTGTGTCCAGGTTCAGGTTGTAGGAGGGCTCTTTTCGGGTCGGAAATGGGGCGGAACGAAATAAAGTGAACAAGTTGGAAGAGAAAAGTATACCATACTCCGGTGAAATACATTACTCCGGTAAGAGCAGAGCTCTTAATCGACCAGGATAATCCGGGTACCTTTGCACAAAACCCTGGCTTGGAAATGTTAATGAGATCTGTAGACCATTCAAGTCTAGTCTTCATAGTTTGGAGGGAATTGTGCTTTTCGAAACAGTGTTGCTGATAAACATACTTTGCTCAAGTTTCTGCCCGCTGTAATCGCGGAAAGATGCTGGTGACTTGCTTTGACCCCCATTGGGAAGAAAGACAACGCCGCCCGTAGACGACGTATTTCCAGTCTTAACAGATTTGTGCTCAAAGAGGTATAAGTGGTGCTCAATTTGTTTCAGCTATGTAATATAGCGTTGAACCAGCGATGGATGTCAGCAACATTTTGAGCGTGGTTACGCGATAAAGGGCGGGTAAAATCTGAAAAGTTTGGAAACATTTTAGGATATTATTTAAACAAAGACAGACGCCGAAGTACAACAAGCAGTGATGCGGGTTTAATGCGCGCTTTGGGTGAGTCAAAATGCGCAACGAAGGATGTGTTGAGCTTTTGTATGAAAAGGCGTTGAGTGGGACGGGACCGGTGATCATGCAATCGGGACGAATAGGTCCTAAACACATATGGGGTGTTCGTTCCAACGGCGATAAATTCTTCATTCATTCTACAAATATTCCATCAGAGCCAATCAACGGCAGTTATATCTGGAAATCGCACTCATGAATGCCCTGTGTGAACGACTCAACAGTCATATTTTTGTTTACCTTGATTGCGGCGTGGTCAGTGAAATGGCAGGATTTAAATAGTGTTAGTATGGCATCACGAGCACCTGAGTGGCCTTGAAATAGTCTACACGAAAAAACTGCACATCTTAGCAGGCGTGTAGGTAAGAAGCTGGAGAGATTTAGGTTTTAAGAAGAGTGGGACTGTGGACTATACCGAATGGTCTTCAAGATGACTATTACATTTCAAAACCCCTTACTCCCCCTGCTCCCCCCCCCCCCCCCCGTAGCACGCCAGACCTGTTCACAACTGGGATCTCTACGGGACCATCACATCGCTCCGGTACGAAAAGACCGAGCAGAACATTTCTGCTGAGCAACTGGGGAGCGCCTGGACGGAGTGGAAGGGGGAAGCAACAAGCCGCGCGGGCACGTACTGAACAGTGAACAGTGAAACCGGAAGCAGCTCTGCCCGGTCGCCTGCCCGGGCCCGGCCGCTTCCTGTTCGAGCCACCCGATGATCATTAGTTCGAGCGTAGATAGTGCTGGACAGTGAACTGCCACGACCTGATACACGGCCGCTTGGCCTTACGGCACTCCGGAACATCGGCAATACGCGTCTCATGAACACGGTGCTGAGAGTCTGGGAAACATCCACGCCCCTGCATGATTACGTCCTACGAGACGAGTACTCGAGAGAGCTCAACAGGACTACCTCCGGCATGAAGGGTGCTCTCATCAGAGCGTTTGCCACGCCAATGCGAGACCCATAGAAGAGTCCAGATGAGGCGGGCCGGGCGTTGATCACCTCCCAACCTAAGGTACAATTTCAGCGGTTTGTAGCAACAGCAGGACGCACATGAGTTCCTTAGATACCTGCTGGAGTGTTTGCACAAAGACGTGAGCCGTATCGGATTCGAATTCAGGCCCACAGCCACCATCATCTATGACAGCCCCGGTGCTAGCCAGAAACCGGTGGAGGCCTGGAAGCGTTTCCTGTTCCTGAAGAGCTCTAAGCTCGTATACCTGTTTGTTGGGCAGCTCAAGTCCACCTTGCGGTGCACGGTGTGCGCGTCCCTCATGTTTAACCCTTTCTAGGCTCTGAGCTTGCTGATCCCATCACTGACGGACCAGGTGTGCTTGCAGGACTGCTTTGACCTTTTTACCACGGAAGAGGTGCCTGACGGAGAAGAAAAGCCGATGTGTTCCATGTGCCAGAAGGGTCAAAGGTGCTCCAAAAACTTCAAGATTCAAAGGCTCCCACGTCTCATTGAAGTGCACCTGAAATGGTTTTCGCTGCAGTGGATCCGAACGGGCACAAGCAAGAAGACCATCATGGCCTTCTCTGCTAGTGGCCGGACCCGTCGCCATACCCGGACCCTAGCCTCACATACTGCCGTACCGGGAGGCTAGGTTTACAAGCTGTACGGCGCGACACACCATTCTGATATGGTGCGCTCGGGCCACCGCACGGCCCATTGTAAACGCTCCTGTTTGAGATTTTGGTAAGAGTGCAGTGACTCCTGATTCCAGGCCATCAGAAAGCACCGTGCCAACAATTACGAAGCATATATGCATTTGGTAACAGTACAGTGACTCCAGATTCCAGGCAATCAGTAAGCACCGCGCAAACAACTACAAAGCATACATGCATGCTGATGCCGGCATGAACGCCAGCACTCGAATAACTTTGAGATGGCTGACTTTCCTCTGGTTCTGCCGGCTTAACACTGTGAAATCCCTTACCAGTGCGGAACGCTCCCCCTAGCACGCGCTCAGGTGAGGGTCAATTTGACCCCTGACGGTTTTGGCATGGCCGCGCCGAATGTTGCATTGCTGTAGACAATTTAATAGCACATCATGTGGTCTGTGGTGTGGTCATCATGTGGTCTGGTGTGGTCATCATGTCATCATGTGGTCACAATTTAGACGCACCTTGTAAGGTACCTGACCTACGGCAAATCACTCAGGCCTTGGATTCAGCGAAGATAATTTCTAGGGAATCGCTCAATCTAATGTAACAACGGAGTATTACACGAAACCATACATCTCTCACATAGTGCCCTTAGCAACACAACAACTGAACGAGCATATTTATTTAACCTAGTGTCAGGTATGAAGGCCAGGCCAAGGTTAAAACAATCTAGAGCTTGCTGTGTAGCGTAGATTCTGGTGCTCATTTCGAACTGATTGATAACTGGAACGGCATTGCAATCTCCCATGAACTTTGTTTGGGTCAGAATAAGTCACGGGCCTAAAATCAGCGAAGTCAGCGTTTTGTTATTGGGAACATAACAAAATGCATGTTTTTGCAGAATGGCTTCCGAACGGCGCGGCGTAGCCGCACCGTCTGGAAGTCATTCCGCAAAAACCTTCAGAGGGGAGGAGCATCACATTATCACACATATCCCATTCACGTTCACGCAATTCATGAGTTCACGAGTATCACATTCACGCAAGCGCGCGCAAACGCAACGTTCGTTTGTTCATTGGTTCCATGCTTCCATTCCTACTATATAGACTCTCGCCTTTTCCTACCAAGAAATCTACCAGCTTGGAATACATTTTTTGTTTCCGGAGTTTGAAATGCAGATTGGAGCCTTAAAGGGCATTTAAAATAAATTTAAAAACATAATTTTATCACTCAAACCAAACTGAAGCACTTAACTCAACGTAAATTATTTTTTTACAGTTGGTTGCTGTAGAATAGAAAGCTTTGTCCGTGCACATGGCTCATCATTCCTTCCAGAGAATTCCGGAGCGAAGCCGATCTGATTGTTCTGCACATACTGACTTACTTAAGTTATTACATTGTTATTACCAGACAACGTTCACGCTGAACCCTGTGCCACATCGCAATTTTCAAAAAAGTTAAGGCAATAATTTTATAATTACATGCTTAAAACTAACAATTTTGACAGTTAAACACACGTGAAAAGGTTTCGACCATTTGATACAAACATGACGCATTTTGGACGATACTTTGTAGTGCTACCTTCGGCGCGTGCACGCACGCGACCGGCGCTCCCTGATATTTGAGTCGCCGCGCCCTTGTGCAGTTTCCTGGGGTGGCGAAGTGCTAACTATCGATCGAAATAGATCGGACATCGCTGATTGGGATTGTGTAGGTCAAGGTTGTGAGATAGTTTCCGGCGACTTGCAAATTTGATTTGCCTGCACCATGGCACTTCATGTCCCACGAGCACCCGGCATCGGGCAGATGCTGAAAGAAGGGTCCAAGGTAAGCGATGAATACAGTCCCTGAAAAGACGACTTGCAGATGTTTTCTCACTCCAAGGAACTGAATGGCTTTGATAATTGGGGCTAGTTCAGTGCCAAATTTGTGGACTGCAATGTCTGCTAGAGTTTATTTGTCAGCTAAGTTTGGTTTGGGGCACAAAAGTTTGCATTGTGCTCCATCATAACCCTCAAGCCAATCTGCAAAAATGTGTTGACTGCACTGGGTTCCTGAGTGACACTGATCCAATGAGCCTTGGGTTGTAATTGGAGCATAAACATGCAGGTGAAATTGGTGAGGACAATTGCTTTCATCATTTGTTTTACAACTTGTACACTCCTACTCAAAGATGGTATGCTTTTTTCCTAAATTTTTGCATATTAATTACACCATGAAAATATTAGCAACACACCATGCATCTACATGCCAGGTGCTAGAGTAGCTGCACTATGCACAAAGAACATAACCTAATGTAAATGCTGTTACTCATGCTTCTACTTCTATCTCTACCTCCTTTTCTTGCTCTATCTCAGTCTTATGGTGCTGGTTAATATATTTGAGGTCTAGAAAAGTCTGCATATTTATAAAAATTGTCATTCTAAACAAAATATCAGCCTTAATGGTCAGGTTGTACTTTCCTACCTCACGTTAGAAAAAATCATTGTACACTGTTTGTCGTGTTTAAGGCAGGACATATCGTAAATAATCACAGAACAGGTAGAATCATGCTCCTACCTTCGAATTTCAATAACTTTGATGGCGGGCTCCCGAGCGCCGCGCACACCGCACCGCCTGGACTCCCCAGCGCCATTTCTGCGTTGCCGTTGCATAAATACAATATTTCTGCTTACCAAGAACTCTACAAAATGTACGGGACCAAGGTAAACCATTCGTCGTTTTTAAGGCAGGACGTATCACAAATGATCACAAAACAGGTAGATTCATGATCTTACCTTCAATTTTTTATAATTACGATGGCGAGCTCCCGAGCGCCGCACACACACAGCACCCGCGACACCGGCGCCATTACTGCGCGGGTCACAACATTACTGCGCATCAAGCAGCATCAAGAACCATACAAATGTACCAGGTGTAGGCGCACACCCAAACGAAATCCCTCCGATGGGACCCAGGTCAAGTGAAATCTTCCTGTGGCTCGAATCATTCTTGTTGCGTACGTCTCCATGCATCAGCATCTGCGTACTCGTTGGCTGGCCGAGAACACAACCTTGCTCTAAATTGTACTTGCCTTGTCTGATCATTGGCTTTAGTCAGTATTCGGGGTGTTTGTGAACACTGCTGGGTTTGGGAACCTTGTTTTCAGCGTGTTTACCTCGTTTCCAGCATCTGTCCGGCTTAGACGAGGCTGTGTATGGCAACATTCGCGCCTGCAAGGAGTTCACCGACACTCTTAAGACGGCCTATGGACCTCGCGGCATGAACAAGATGGTCATCAATCACATTGATAAACTCTTTGTGACAAGTGATGCAGCCACAATCATCAGAGAATTAGAGGTACGTGGAAGGGATGGGGGAATCATTGTGCTCTTCGTTTTGTTTTAGTTCAGTCGATTCTGAATCTGCCCCGCGGTATGTGGATCTGATTCTAATGTTGGTGCCGAGCGGCGCAGCAGTATTCGTGTGGGAATCCGATGCCAACTGTGAAGTACGTGGTGTTCATAAGTTTACTTGAGTCGTAAAGCTTCTATACGTGTAGGGTACCCAAAAATGGCATTAAGCTGTTTTTTTGTTGATTGCTCCACAATTGAAACCAATACACAAGCCTAGATTCGGATTCCGAGACATTCAGGGTCTTAAAAAGGTTTCGTTCTTCCTAGACTGTTGTAAAGTACGATTGATATTAAAACCCATTGGGTTTTCTCCCCGTGGTGCGCTGATTGGTTGTTTGCATTAGAACCCTTTCGATCAGAAATGAGCATTTCGGAGCGATTGGATGAAGGAAAGTGGTTAACAGTAGGCAGGTTTGCATGCGTCTCTGGGGTCAACCGCCGAGCCATAACCCGCGCATGTGCACTGGATACCCGGTCGGGGTTCCCTTCCCACGGGGCTCTGTCGGCCCACTCATGGCTCACGCATGCAGCCCTCCCCTGGATAAGCGGTGTGTCGCGAGGATGCAGGATGAAACAAGATACAGGATAAGAGGGTCGGGACGGGTGCGCTGACATTAGTGTTAATTGAAATCGTGCGTCGATGTGGGATGCTTTGTGGTTATGATTTGTTGCAACGACGCGTGCAGTAATGCAGGGCTTGCGTAGCACCCGACATGCGGTAAGGGTGACTCGCCCTGACCTGACCTCACCTGACCTCACCTGACCTCACCCTGTACCCGGCCGAAGTACCAGTTGAATCTTCTTGCCGTATCGGCTCGCATTCCTTGCGCGCCATCATGTCCTTTTGACGCACGTACGTTGCCGGAGGTGGCGATAGCCGTGAGTCGTTCTATAGTCTGATGCAGAGGCGCTTCTTACGATTGTGGTCTGGCTGCGACAGGTGGAACATCCGGCGGCGAAGATGATGATTCTCAGCTCGCAGATGCAGGAGCAGGAGGTCGGGGATGGCACCAACTTCGTTCTCATCATGGCTGGTTCGCTCCTGGAGTCGGCAGAAGACCTACTCAGGATGGTGAGGGCACCGCATGCATACTTCCTGAGGCGTCTTCATAGAGACGCTAGTGTAGGATTGCGTCTTAGATAAGCTCTGCCAGTCTCATGATAGTTTTTTAGTGTATTGCAAAGTGAAGATGGGTTAATTCGGTGATGCTTTCTTGCGTCGTGTCATGATGTCTTCAAAAGAGCCTAATATATTTGACGGCTGCGTGATAAGAGGTCTGCTTGCCCAGCGGTTCGGTGACTGATAGTGTCTTATTTTTAGCAGGGTACTGTCATGAATGAACATAGTTGACTGTGCCTGACATAGGCGGGCGAAGCAAGTTTCGACTCACGTATGCGCGCTGCTGTGGATTTTGCGTATGTCGTCGAACCTGACATTTTTACACTGGGGATGCACCCCCCCCCCCCCCCCCTGCCCCTCCATGTCGGACATTGACCCGACCGCGCTCTGGACCAGGGCCTGACGCCGACGGAGGTGGTGGAGGGATACGAGATGGCGCTGAACAAGGCGCTGGAGCTGCTGCCAACGCTCACCTGCGGCGAGGTTAAGGACGTGCACAACGAGGCCGAGGTCAAGCGGGCCATCCGGCCGGCAGTGATGAGCAAACAGTACGGCAACGAGGACTTCATCACCGATCTCATCACCAAAGCGTGCCGTGAGTGGAGACCGGTCTGCGGCCAAGGCGACGCTAGCTGGTGACCGGGGTGACGTGAAATCGGGATATACAGGCGGATGCAAGTTTCAAGTCGTTTTCACTGTTGCTATGCACAAAGTGGCCGCTTAATTGACTACTTAGCACGCTCACTGCATTGCACTGTTTGTTCTTTTCGTTGTTCGAATGAAAGTTATATTTCTAGTTTTTTATGAGCCATTCAATATGAGAATGTTTGAGGAAAAATGAAGTATGATTTAAAGCGATATTTTCTAGACACTAATAGCTTGCATATCTTTGCTGGGAAGCCGCTGCAAGATGGTGTGTTAGATCGCTATCACGGCAAGTCAAAGGTATTTTTGAGTTTTTGCGAGCATAAGATGTTGATGATATCCTTGGCGGTGCGGACGAGACCTCGCCACTTCCCCCCGCCGTGCACCTCCGCGCCTGTATCGGCTGGCCCCAGCGCTCACATTGGTCTTTTCCGGCCGGCAGTATCGATCCTGCCAGAGAAGACTGCCTTCAGCGTCGACAACGTGCGGGTCTCGAAGATCCTGGGCGCGGGTCTGCTCAGCTCACAGGTGGTGCAGGGCATGGTGTTCCGGCGCGAGGCCGAGGGCACCGTCACCTCCATGGAGAAGGCCAAGGTGGCCGTCTTCACGTGTCCCGTCGACATCGCCGCCACCGAGACCAAGGTGAGCACCGCCGGCCGGCGCGCGCCGCAGCTGCGAGAAGCGTGTCGCGCGCGCACGATTGGAGCGGACGCGGCCTCCAGGGATGGAGTACCTGACCATTCATGCTGCCAGGCCCAGGAAGGCTATATGGGTCTGCCCAGCTTGAGAGTGGCCGTCATTTGGGCGATCCGCTCACGGTGTTTGCTTGATTCCAGTGGAAAGCCCCTTGGCCTGTTGATAAGTTTGCTGGTGACGCACGGACGCACCCTAGGTACTCGATCAATAGACTCACTCGTCCGCCGCGGCAATTGCAGCCACAAACGCCCGAAGGACTTTCGGTGTTCTACAAACAAAACGCCACAAGCAACGTCGAGTTTACATGTCATTAGAGCAGCGTTACACGTTATCATTTTGAACGAATTCTGTAATCGCTTGTTATGATGAAACAGCCAAATACAGGCGTACAAAAAGCGTGCTGTGTGCAGACTTGTGCGGCTGTACTCTGTGTGCAATGAACAGGGCGAAATGTTGCTTAGATGCATTTCGGCATGTCATGCCATGCTGGCCACCGCGGATCTGTGCGCCTTTTCTGGTGGTGGTTGCTGGCGGCAGTTACGACTCAGAGAGGATTTGCACACATTTTCGTGGTGGAAAGACGCAAGCATCATGCAGGCACGCGCAATTACTGTGCGTGGCCCCTGCTCAAAAAGAAATACTGAAATTCGTGCCAATGTTTCCACCTGTCGATGAACATAATTTGGAGCTCTGTTCAGGGCGAGGCGGAGTGAAAAGGTGAACACGTAATTTTTGACTGATGACTCGTAATTGTCCGGGAGCGGTGGCGTTAAGACGTTTGTGCTACAGCAACAACTCCCACCGACAGAAGTGTTACGACTGCAGTTATACACAACGTTGATTCTAATGTAAAACTCATGCAAACTTCACTCATACGCGACATCCCTTCTACTGCAAAGACTTATGCACGACGTGAGGCTACACAACTTAACTTATGCTGTAAAAAATTATTTCCGTCATTTATCCAACAGAGACTGATACTGTCTTTACTTATACGCGTCATTGCTTCTGCTGCAGCGGGTTATGTGCTACATTATTGCTACACCACAAAATTTGCAAAATGGTGGAAAATTATATTTGAAAAAGCCTACGCTCGTTATTATGTCTGCTGTTAAAACCTGTATAGTTTTCACTTGTCAACAATTGTTTTCCTCGGCCAATACTTATATGCGACATATATACACTACGACTCAGGCCATAACCCACATTTTATAACAATCAGTGCCGTAACATGAAGGTAAATCATCACCGAAATTATGCAGAGGGGACACACGCACGGTATCTTTTGGCCTTGCGAAATCAAACTGCAGGTGCCTAGTCCCATGGCGTCAAGGTATTATTGCTGCTGTGAATGTTGTGATTCACAGACCCACGGCGACAATGGTTCGACACGACATTTTTCCTACTGAATCTGCTAGTCCACCCATCTACTTTATTTTCGCTTGATGCGCAATCTCTGTGCCAGTTGTCCACGATAAATACGTATGTTGGCAACAACTGACAGACCTTCGTGACGTACCATGTTCTGGCATTTTCAGGGTACCGTTCTCATTAAGTCTGCTCAGGAACTGAAGGACTTCTCCCGCGGAGAAGAGAACCAGCTAGAAGAACAAATTAAGGCCATCGCCGCCACGGGAGCCAAGGTATCGTGGTTGAGGAATACCGAGCATCGACTGATTATTGGCGCTACTTCAGCGAACGATAAGAGCGAACGATAAGAAGTGTGTTGGGATGATCCGGACAGAACCGGACACCATTGCTGACGGTTGCCCGTGGTCTGCGCGCCACGTTGTGCCACGTTTTGCGCGGCCCAGGTGTGGAATGACCTCCGCGGCCGAAGCGCCGTCTTTGAGCCATCCCCAGCACTCACGGCTGGCCCACATGGCGCCCGGCCCTGCGAGGCTGCCCGTCTCCCCTCGCGTGGCGTCTTCCCTGTCCCGCCCCGCGCCGCGCCGCGCCGTGCTCTGCCCTGCTCTGCCGTGCTCTGTCCTGCTCTGCCCTGCCCGTGCCTCAGTCCCTCCCCCCCCCCCCGCAGGTGATCGTGGCCGGCGGCAAGTTCGGCGACATGGCGCTGCATTACGTCAACAAGTACGGCCTGATGGCGGTGCGCATCATGAGCAAGTTCGACCTGCGCCGGCTGTGCAAGACGGTGGGCGCGACGGCGCTGCCGCGCCTGACGGCGCCCGCCGCCGGCGAGCTGGGCTACTGCGACCGCGTCTACACGGACGAGCTGGGCGAGACGGCCGTGGTCGTGTTCCGCCAGCAGGCGGCCGAGAGCCGCATCGCCACGGTCGTCGTCCGCGGCGCCACCGACAACATGATGGACGACGTGGAGCGTGCCGTCGACGACGGCGTCAACAACTTCAAGGCGCTCACCAAGGTCGGTGCTGGGCGCGGAGGCGGGTGGGGGCGGGGCGGACTTGGCGCTACTGCTGAGCTCGTGGTGCGAGTGTGCTTGTTTGGGGAGAGAGGTTGGCGTCGTTGCCGTTTGTTTGGTGTGGATGAAGCGGTTCGGGGTAGTTCAAGATCCGGGTTGCTGGGCTGTTGGTCAGACGGTTGATCAACATCTCGTTTGGAAATGACGACCTCGCTATCGCCAATCCCCGCCATATATGCGTCATGGCCGCCCGCCACGCCCCTCCCGCGTGTTCCGCGCCTAACCCGCGCCGGCCCCCGCCCATAGGACGGCCGCTTACTGCCAGGCGGCGGCGCCTGCGAGATGGAGCTGGCCCACCTGGTCTCCCAGTACGCCGACACGTGCCCCGGCCTCGAGCAGTACGCCATCAAGCGATTCGCCTCGGCGCTCGAGGTGTTCCCCAAGGTGCTGGCCGACAACTCGGGCTGCAAGTCGACCGAGGTGCTGTCTCGGCTGTACGCGGCCCACCAGGAGGGCCGCAAGACGGCCGCCTTCAACGTGGAGGTGAGACTTGTGCGGCGGGGCGGCGTTGGCTGCACGCCGCTGCCAGACAACTCTCCTTGTCCCTGCTGTCCGCGGGGCGGGAGCGGCCAGGCTCGCTGTCCGCTGGGCTGGAGCGGCCGGGCTCGCTGTTCGCGGGGCTGGGTCGGCGAGGCTCGCTCTCTGCGGGGCTGGAGTGGCGATGCTCGCTGTCCGCTGGGCTGGAGCGGCCGGGATCGCTGTCCGCGGGGTTGGAGTGGCGAGGCTCGCTGTCCGCGGGGCTGGAGCGGCCAGGCTCGCTCTCCGCGGGGCTGGAGTGGCGAGGCTCGCTGTCCGCGGGGCTGGAGCGGCCAGGCTCGCTCTCCGCGGGGCTGGAGTGGCGAGGCTCGCTGTCCGTGGGGCTGGAGCGGCCGGGCTCGCTGTCCCCGGGGCTGTTGCTCCATTTGCGGGTGGCTACGAGGCAAGATAGCCCTGACAGTCCGTGTGGTCCGATGACATTGAGGACCAAGTAACAGAGTCAATGCCAGCGAGCGCAAGAGCTTGTGTGAAGTGAGACGAGCCAGGGGTATAGCCAGGTGGCGTCAGGGGTCTCAACACGCGATCCGGTGGGCGGTCGCCTTAGCCATTTACATTTTCCATGGACTTAACCATGGACAAGGTCGGAATGAGTCACTGACCTAAAATGGCCCAGGTCCAAACTTTGTTTTTAGTAACACTGCTTAGCGTATGTTACTAAAGCAGAATAATAAGCGTGATCCGTGACGTTTATGCAGGTGCAAAAACCAAAGCTGTCTTTTATGGTTTGGGTCACCATGACCTTGATAAGACCACACTGTCACTGACCTTGAATAGTCACCAGTGACCTTTTGCTTAGAACAGGTATCTAGGTGGTTGCGTGAAAAGGTTTGTAGGGATTTTGGACACCAATCCAACGTTTGACCTTGTTTGACGTTATTTGACCCCAAGGTTATGATCTAGGAACGTCATATTTTGACACCAGTGAGTTCACGTACCGGTCAACACATCCTGTGAATTTGATGTTTCTAGCTCCCCTAGTTTCTAAGATGCCAAGGTATTATCACCCGCGCGAAGGGTATTCACCGGGACACCCTGGCGCGTGTTAAGGGAAGTGCGCGACATTTGTAGAGGGGTTTGGACTGAACGAGCAATCTTGAAGGTCATTCGGTGCAGTTCACAGCCTTGGTCTTTTTAAGACGTAAACCCCTGCAGTTTCTGAACTACACACCCGTTTAGATGTGTGGGCTATTTCGTGCGGAATTTCAGGGTGACCCAGGCATTCATCACGCCATAATTATTATACAGTTAAATCTCTTTTGACATAGACACTGGTGTCTTCCTTCGAGGGCGATCTCGGAAGGCGTGATAATTGGGAGCTGGCCGGGCAAGTACGAGTGCGTGGGTTTGTCAGTTTTGCCATATGTTAGTGAACAGTAGCCGAAACATGCGTCTACGCTGTTAAAGGGAATGCTACACATTTGAGGATATTTAAGCAAGTGTCAGATAGGATGAAATAAGATCATTTATGTTGATATGCTTTCAAGTGGAATAGGCTGTTCCATACCATATTTTTATTTTCTGTTTTTAGTAAATACGTTTCTTAATTCGTCATTGTTTCATTACGTCATCGTTCCTTGCACAATATTGATTGAGAGCCCATGGACGGTCATTTTTCTCAAAACGCGCTCACAAAGGCCAGGCATGGACAATCAACAATAATATTTTGTCTTGGTATTTATTGCTGCTGGCCAACGGAATGGTAGCAATTGATTGACATTATCATGGCGTCATGGACGCCTGAGTGATTTTTAACTAGTTTTCCCGAAATGGGCTGCACATCTTTGTGGGTGTGGAGTTCAGAACCTGGAAAGGCTTAGGTTTTAAGAAGGGCAGGGAGGTGAGCTGCTCTGAGTGATCTTCAAGTGGGTATTTCAGCTCAAAACCCTATATAAATGTGGAAAACTCACGTAAATGTGGCTTCATGTGGTCATCTGCTGTGGGCTGCCGAAGTTTCACACCAATCCGTAAAAACGCCCTAAAACGGAAGAAGCTAAGGTGTGCGATCGAGAGTGCAAGTGACTTGCATGCACACATATCAACACTTCATAATTTTCCGGTTTTTTTCCTGCTTTGGAAATCGTGTGAATCTGGCGGTGCCGTGACGGCGGGTGGTCGAGATTTGAATTCAGTCTCGACCCGAGCTCTTTAGCTTTTCCGCATTATGTGATTATCTTAAGATTAAGGGGTTTGGAAGCGGGCTGCACCCCTTGCTGTTGAACACTGCGGGACACTGCGATCGGCCGTAGCGAATGTTCTGGAAAACGTAGGGGACGAGCCGTGCCGGGCCACACAAAATGTTAATTTTGTTACAGTTTATGTGAGGCTCGCTCGTTTTTGGGGGTGGGCTGCACCACTTCCCGCTTTTGTGTTCCCCTTTTTAGCTCGCGCTTTTCTGGTTGTGTTAGTGAATGCGCTTCCCCGGTAGTAATCAGTAAGGAGATCAGAACCCCCATGAAGTGGGAAAGGCTGGAGGCTGGTAGTATTCCGGTTTGTGAACTTTGTCTGCCGGGAAATTGTTCCTCAACATGGTGGTTGATCGAATTCATTAAGCAAGCATTGATAATTCGTATTATTATATAATAAGGCATCGATGAATTATTATAATACTGATGAACGTGCTCACTTCCGGAGAGGCGAACCATATTATGACCATTCTCGACGGTTTAGTCAGTATTCAATGATTGCTGGACACCTTTTAACCCTTGCCTTGATCTGTGTTTTCATAATGTCTGATTGGGGGACTGTGGGAATACGGACCTCGACCATTTCCAAACTAAGAAAGGTATAGCTTAGTGGAAAACATCAGCGCGGTTCGTCTCAACGAGATCTCACGATTGGCAATAAGTTTTGTTTTGGTAGGTCGATTACTGACTGCGCTATGTCAGGCAGCGTTCCAGAACTCATCCAGTAAGGTGTGCAGGATGTAAACATAAATTCATGCTGCCAGAATGTTCGCTCTCCGGCGGCGGCCCCGCACGCACGCACGCTTTATGACACCGCCGCTGCCTGCGTGTTGTGCAGAATTGGACCCGTTCGTCACGGTAGCGGGCACTTTGTCATGAGCGTGTCGACCGGTATGTGTTTGTGGTCCGGTGTGGTGTGTGCGCCGCCGGAAACTCTGTTGCCGAAGTGTGCCCTTGGCGCGGGCGTGGGGCTTCTGCAATGATCATTTTGTTGGATCGGTGCAAACGGTGCTGTACCATTAAAATGCATCAATTTGCCCATTAATTTCAGCTCTATAGACAGCGCGTTCTATCTCCTCCATTTACGTCAAATATGAACTAGGCGTGGAACTAGCCAATCATGCCACCTTTTGCGCCCGACCGTAAAAGTCAATGTTGAGGCTGAATGGTATTTTCGCGCATAAACTCGCTGGTGTATATTGGAAATATGGAAGCCCGTTGGTGATAAATTGAGAGCAAAGATACGGCGCCACTGATGGCCAACTTCTGCACATACAAATTGTGCCACAGCTCCTGCACAATGGGAGCCCGTGCCCAATACCCCGTATGTTGCCGGGCGGCCTCCAAGGTTACTAATGTGGGGCGTATGGAAAAGCGCGTCCGTCTTGGCCTGATAGCTGTCGAAGGCCGCGCCGTCGGGGCCCGGTTCCTCATTGACCACCCAGCCCTTAGGAATGACACGCTTGAATACTATCCGAAGGAACAATAATTAGCAAGTTATGTGGTTTATGGCATCAGTTATGCGGCTGAAGATATCAGTTATGTGGCTAGACACTTCAGTTATGTGGCGAACGCCGCCAGTTCTGTGGCTAAAGACAGCGTTGTCGATCACGCGGTTTCCCTGAGAACGACACCTGCCTATTTGCCAGACGTGCATAACCTGCATAAACAGCGTATACAGCGTTTTGACCGTTGCGAGGCGTTCCTTTGTCACATTTGGCAGTCTTATCAACGGCGGTTATATATAAACAAACTCTTTTACTTCGCCTCTCGGCCGATTAGGGCATGGGCTCAGTCCATGACGCATTTGGTAATAGGCTTATCCCAAAGAAGGAGATGGGCCTCTATTTTCCAATGACGAACGGGTCTCGGGAGCATCCTTAGATCACTCCTTAGTGGGTGCGCTGTCGGTGGTGGTGGCCGGTGAACGGCGCGGCTCAGGTAAGATCACTCCTTAGTGGGTGCACTGGTGGTGGTGGTGGCCGGTGAATGACGTGGCTCAGGTAAGATCAGTCCGTAATGGGTGCACTGGTGGAGGTGGTGGCCGGGGAAGGGCGCGGCTCAGGTAAGATCACTCCTTAGTGGGTGCGCTGGTGGTGGTGGTGTCGGTGGCCGGTGAAGGGCGCGGCTCAGGTAAGATCACTCCTTAGTGGGTGCACTGGTGGTGGTGGTGGCCGGTGAATGACGTGGCGCAGGTAAGATCACTCCTTAGTGGGTGCACTGGTGGAGGTGGTGGCCGGGGAAGGGCGCGGCTCAGGTAAGATCACTCCTTAGTGGGTGCACTGGTGGTGGTGGTGTCGGTGGCCGGTGAAGGGCGCGGCTCAGGTAAGATCACTCCTTAGTGGGTACGCTGGTGGTGGTGGTGGTGGTGGCCGGTGAAGGGCGCGGCTCAGGTAGACTGTGACGATCTGTCACGGTCTGTCTGCCTTCTCCGTCGATGTGTTGCCCGTGTGCTTAGCTTCCCTCCATTTTTGGAAGTTCCGACGAGAGTGATATCGACGGCATTATGTCGTCTTTTTAGACGGTTTGTGCGTTAAGCTGTAAGGTGCTGCACAATTCAGTTCATTTACGGTTTACAATTCAGTTTAATCGCACAACTGGAAAATCAGTTTTCCTGTGTGCTGGTTTTTAACGTTAAGCATATTGGTCGATCTCAATTCGCTAATATAACTGGGCTAACCAGAGGAAAGGGCGCGGGCAGCCGACGATCCGTCAATTTACGACAGCTGCTCGTGCTCCGATGATAGGTGCGCTCCTAGCGAAGCAGTCCCATTGCTTCGAGGCCGCGGTCCTCCCCTCAGACGGTCGTTGGCGGCGCCCTCGTGTGGCTCTCCGCGTGCCGTCCCGGCTCCCGGACATGAGCGGCGCCCTCGTGTGCTTCTCCGCGTGCCGTCCCGGCTTCCGGACATGAGCGGCGCCCTCGTGTGGCTCTCCGCGTGCCGTCCCGGCTCGCGGACATGAGCGGCGCCCTTGTGTGGCTCTCCGCGTGCCGTCCCGGCTCCCGGACATGAGCGGCGCCCTTGTGTGGCTCTCCGCTTGCCGTCCCGGCTCCCGGACATGAGCGGCGCCCTCGTGTGGCTCTCCGCGTGCCGTCCCGGCTCGCGGACATGAGCGGCGCCCTCGTGTGCTTCTCCGCGTGCCGTCCCGGCTCCCGGACATGAGCGGCGCCCTCGTGTGGCTCTCCGCGTGCCGTCCCGGCTCGCGGACATGAGCGGCGCCCTTGTGTGGCTCTCCGCGTGCCGTCCCGGCTCCCGGACATGAGCGGCGCCCTCGTGTGTCTTTCCGCGGGCTGTCTCCGCTCCGGGACATGAGCGGCGCCCGGCGATGGCCGGCGGGCGTAACTCATGCCGTCGTCACTGAGGCGCCACCACAATCACGCTCGCGGCCGGCCGGGCGCTGACGCCGCCGCCCGGTGACCCCTGCTGCGTTCGTTAATGCGCTGCTGTAGTCAGTAGAAGCCCGCTGTGTTTGCAATGTCGCGCCTGCTAATTGTATTGTGCGCGCAGTCTCGTAGTCTGCCCAGTGGTGTGTGCGAACGGAAGAAGAGAGGGATGGGGTTCATGCGTTGTTTCGGTAATAGTAACGACATTTTGGCATATGGTAAAGACGTAGGCAAAGGCGCACCAGGGACCGTATCGCACAGCACCACGTTTAGCGTGGACGAAGCCGTTCAAATTCTTCCGCTGCGACATTTCGGAAGTTCCGAAGGCCGCATCTTTATTTGTTGTCCGAAGATGAAACGCTTTCGTCTCCATTTGCCCAACAAAGAAGCATGATTTTGTCTTTCCAACGCATATTTCCCTTCGTTTGAAGATACATGCTTCTTTGTTTTACAGTATGCTCAGAATGTCCCATCTTGCGTGTTAATATGGTATCGTTCCCTCTTGCTGTCCAGCATCAGCCCAGTTTTGTGCGAATGTTCGGCATTCGCTGTAATGTTTGACTTCGATGTAATATCGCTGTAATTGACACAGTGTTTGGCTATTGCAACCGTGTGCCGTCGCAGTGTCAGCCCCGTGCTGACGCTTCGCCGCCGTTTTCTCTGTTGGCCCAGGGCGAGGGCGCTGACACGACCTTGGACGCCGTCGAGGCGGGCATCTTCGACCTCTGGCTGACCAAGCACTGGGCGCTGAAGTACGCCGCCGCCGCCGCATGCACCGTTCTCAAGGTGGACCTGATCATCATGGCCAAGCGCGCCGGAGGACCCAAGCCGCGCGAGAACAAGGACTGGGACGAGGACTAGTCGTGACGCGCCCCCGCGCCAGCTGCTGCCGCCGCCGCCGACTGGCGGGTGGGGGAGGGGTATGTCAGCTCGGCTTCCCGCCGCCACTGCAGTTGGTGCCCAGCTGGGTGTTTGCCACACATTTCCACGTGAATTAACAATGCTCGGCGTATTGCCCGTTTGCGTCTGCGACTAAATAGTTTCTGTTCTTGCTGCGATTTGGCTGCGGTCGCAGCACAACGTGCTCTGCATCCGAATGCCGTACCATACTGACATAACATGTTCAATACAAGCAGCATCTCCAGTGCCGACTTTGAGAACTCTCGACCGGCCTCCTGCCTTTCAGTGGGGGAACGCATACCCGAATCTGGCTGCGTGGATTTCGCAGGAGCTTGCTGTTACTCGGCGTCTCGTCATTGGTACTCGCTTCGTGCTCTCCAGTGCTAAGCATTTTTGCTTAAGTTTATAGGGCTGTTGTTTGCGAAACAACCGCTATAAAAAAGGCAAAGGCATTTTCAATCCTGACTTCAGGCCACAATGTATTTTGCGTGCATAAATGTGCGAGGAAGTCATAAAAAAGCAAACAAAGAAGCGACTTAACTTGAAAGTAGACGTACGAGCGTCTGAAACACTGGGCTGGGAGGGGGGGGGGGGGGGGGCATGCTCCAGCCAAATATTAAGTAACTTTCACTCAAGTGGCATTTCTGGCGATACGGTAGTGGGGGACTTGGCGTACTAATGCTGAGTCGGTTTCGCCAGGCGCACGTGTCCAATAAATTTTGGCATAAATCAAAGGTATTAATAGACAATATTTTACCAGCTGTATGTATGGACTGTTCTCTACTGCTCCAAAGATTAATATAAACGTGCCAAGAAATACGTACCCAGCCAGTGTCAAGTGTGTGTCTGCGACCAAATGCAACTGTGCCCAAAATAAGCAAGAGAGTTGGAACCTGATTTAGTTTCTTTAAACTTCTGCAGCGGTCTGAATAAATGCAGCGTGAGGCGGCTAACATTTGGGCACGGGCTGCCGCAAGGGGCGTTCATAAATGCAGGACACCCATGACTCCATCACAGGTATTATTCATGATGGCATCTAGCGCGTCGTTCGCGTTGCTGGGCCGGCGCAAAAAGGCCGCAGACCAATCATATTGATGTGCGCAGGTTACCTCCACTTCCGACGAAGATCCATGTGCGTATTGCCGTGAAACTGATCGACAAATATGGCTCAGTCCACATCATCGAGAGTCCTTAGTTTGCATACGATGGCTGCGTTGCGCTCCGTATGGCGACTTCTGACAGCCGCTACTATTCCATTCATATTGACACCAACGCAGCCCAGAAGCTCAATGCCTTCTTTGAGGCATAGCAGAGCGTACGACATGAAGCGCTCAGCAAGAATAGGCCTGCACCAACCCATAGCCTCGAGCAATCGTTTTAGTTTGTATTGCTTCTAACGGTGGCTCAGTGCACAGCGTGACTGAAAGCTTATATTGATATACCACTGGGCACCAAGTGACTACCCCGCCTTGCTGGCGCCAGGATGGTCACCCGCAGCGCTTGGGTCACACTCTGACCGGAAATAGCGATCGTCAACGATAGCACACATACGGACAGGCCCAACGGGATCACGCCCCCGGTCCGCTGGAAAACACAGATCGACCCAAGTGGTGGTCCAGTGCGCTCTGGCTTTCTTTGAATGAGACGCCTACCGGGTCAGTGCTAACTATTTCAAGGCTGTGTCATGAAGTAGAGTGGATTACGGTGGGGAACTGCACGAACCCGGGTTTCTTCCACCGAAACGTATCCCACGTGGGGACCCCGATACAGTGTATGTGCCCGGCGCTTGGACGGGGCCCCGCCAAAGTCCACCCGTGGCTGGCACGTGTAGCTTGGCCCTGGGGGAAATGGGGCGTCCGAGTGGCACTGCTTCAATGGCACACGCTTGCGGTCGTTGTCGGTGGGACGTAGGCGACCTTCTTCAGCACCGGGTAGTTATCGGCGTTTCCCAGGTACGTCATCTGCACGCCGTTTGAGTGGTTAACGACGATCTTGGTCACATCGTCCCCGCCTGTAAAGGCACAGCACGGTTCAGTTGCGGTTCAGTCACGTCACAGGCACGGCTCGGTCACGATCCAGCCACGGCACGATCACGGCTTAGTCACAATCCAATTATTGCCCTACCACGGCTCCGTCACGGTCCAGCCACGGCACTATCACGGCTTAGTCACGACCGAGTTATTGCTCTACCACGGCTCCGTCACGATTCAGCCACGGCACCATCACGGCTTAGTCACGACCCGGTTATTGCTATACCACGGCCCGGTCACGATCCAGCCACGGCACTATCACGGCTTAGTCACGACCCAGTTATTGCTTTACCACGGCTCCGTCACGATCCAGCCACGGCACTACCACGGCTTAGTCACGACCGAGTTATTGCTCTACCAAGGTTCCGTCACGACCCAGCCACGGCACCATCACGGCTTAGTCACGACCCAGCTATTGCTCTACCACGGCTGCGTGACAATCCAGCCACGGCACGATCACGGCTTAGTCACGACCCAGTTATTGCTCTGCCACGTCTCCGTCACGATCCAGCCACGGCACGATCACGGCGCAGGCACGATCCAGTTTCGGTGTGATCACGAATCAGTCATGGTTCCGGCAAGATCAGTGACGTCATTGGCTCAGTTTCGGCTCTATAACCATTCAATCGAATGCATGGATGTCGTTCACCCAGCGTCGGCTCCTTCAAGCTAACGGACACCGGTGGCTCATCATCGTTCGGTGCGTTGGTGGGGTGCCGCATCCCAGGCATTCGGTGCGCTGCTGGGGTGCCAGATCACAGGCGCTGTTCATGAGCAGCAGCATCCCGGCCTCAGTCAGCAACCGAACTCACGGACACCGATCGGCGCTGGCGAACTTCACCTGGCACGCGGGGACATAGACCACGTCACGGTTATCACGCACAATCAAGCGGTCTGAAAAATGTCCCCGTCGCTTACGCGATGCGACGGTTGGAGCGAGCCTGCCCATGTAGTAGCGCAGCACGGTCGAGAGCAGCAGCAGCAGATACTCCAGCAGCTCAGCCACCATCACCAGTGAGACACCCAAGTAGAGCGACATGGCGCCCCCCACGCTGCTCAGCAACGAATGGTCCTGCGTAGTCAATACACGAGCTGTGGGTCTTGCACATTGGGTGATGCCAGTGGTGCTGTTTAATGAACACTGGCCCTGTCACGCAGCACCAGCTTTCCCAGGTTCCTGCTGCTTTTTAGCAGCATTCAGCGACGCTTGGATGATCTCGACTTCGCAATGGTCGGGGGGTCAGAAATTGGACGTCCGCTAGCAAGTCGCTTGCAACCGACTGGTTCAGCTTGGATCGCGGCGCTACAGCTCCGGCGTGGTGTGTGAGTGTTTTTCCGAGGTCATGCGCACTCGCTATCATGAGGCGCGTGTCGCATCATTGCTTGCCGATGATGACCCCATCATGGCAGCTGGCTCAGGCATTTGGCATGAGCTCATCAGTGGTCAGAACAAACCGCTTTGGCCTCGCACTGTAACGTCGTACATCAATAGTGTGGTTTGCAGTTTTCAGGTTCGCAGCGACCGGGTATGTACCGGCCCAGCGAGGACCCGACGGGTACTTCTCCCATCGGCGATATATTGCCCTCGTGATGAGACAGGACGTGCACATTCCCCGTGATGAGACAAGACGTGCACATTTCCCTGTGATGAGACAAGACGTGCACATTCCCCGTGATGAGACAAGACGTGCACATTTCCCTGTGATGAGACAAGACGTGCACATTCCCCGTGATGAGACTCGATGTGTACATTCCCCGTGATGAGACAAGACGTGCACATTCCCCGTGATGAGACAAGACGTGCACATTCCCCGTGATGAGACAAGACGTGCACATTTCCCTGTGATGAGACAAGACGTGCACATTCCCCGTGATGAGACAAGACGTGCACATTCCCCGTGATGAGACAAGACGTGCACATTTCCCTGTGATGAGACCCGATGTGTACATTCTCTCGTGATGAGGCACGACGTGTACATTCCCCGTGACGAAACCCGATGTGTACATTCCCCGTGATGAGACCCGATGTGTACATTCTCTTGTGATGAGGCACGATGCGTACATTCCCCGTGATGAGACACGATGTGCGCATTCCCCCGTGATGAGACACGATGTGCACATTCCCCGTGATGAGACACGATGTGCGCATTCCCCGTGATGAGACACGATGTGCACATTCCCCCGTCATAAGACACAATGTGCACATTCCCTCGTGATGAGACACGATGAGCACATTCCCCCGTGATGAGATCCTATGAGCACATTCCCCCGTGATGATGCCCCCGATGTCCACATTGCACAGTCGTACCCGCAGTGCCCGCGACAAATTTGCGATGACCAGCATGGGGTCAATGGTTCATCTTCTTGAGAGATGTGACATCAAAGTGCAATGGAGATGAAGAAGAATACGATGAAGATAAACAGGCCTTGTGCTGTCCTTAACCTAGGCAATGACTATAGCTGTAGATATTATGAACGAGGGGGGTATTTGATATCGCGGTGAAATTCCAATTTTGAAATTTATGTAGCAGCCATATGACGAGCAGAGGAACGATGTCGTAAACCACCCCAGCATTTGGCCTCTCACGTTACGCACGCTCAGAGTTATACAGGAAGTCACCTTTGAAACCAAGCGATCTATTTCAGAGGGGCACGCATAAAAGGCAACCCCTTGTCATTTTCAAATCTAGAGCATTGTGAGGTGGTATCCAGAGCAAGCGGTTGAAACTTAAGTCGGTTTAATAGGTCCGTTAGGCTTAGCAACAAAGAGGGGCGGAGAAGCAAAATAGTCCACCCCAGTAACCCGAAGGTGGCTAAATACTCCGGTCACTGACGGACCAAGTAGCCGACCACGATCGGAAGAAATAGGAGCCGCTAGAACGGGATGCCAGGCGTACCGAGTACTGCGGAGCCTCGACAAGCAGTGCCGTGTTCAGTGTCTTGAAGAACACTTTCAGCTCGAGGATGTTGGAGGGTATGTTATCCACCTGGTGCGGGTCCATGTCAGTGAAGTTGATGCCCATTCGTGAGGCGGCCGTCACCTGTGGGCGGGCCCGCACGGTTGCACCTCTGGAGAAAACCCTAAGGGGCAGCGCAGAGCCAGCGCGACGCAGCAAAAAAAAAAACCACAACAAAAAACGGAAAAACGCACTGACAAGTTTGCATCATATCGTATAATGTCTAAACTCGGTAGCCCTATTTGAGATGCTATTGAGAGACGCTCTAGTTACGGCGTGATTATTGTGAGACGTCTCCGATTCCCAAGTTATCACTTTCATGCTTCCAAGATTGTCCCGTCAAGCACAACTCATGAAAAGTATACAGTGCGAATCCACAGGACCCTTGCTGATGTTTGTTTTCCCTTCTAAATGTGAAATTTCAATTGAATGAGCAAACTATCTTCGAGGCACAAGGTGGTCCTAGTCTAGCGACGGTACCAAGCAATCCATACATCATATTACGGGAATACGAGGCACCGCAAGCGGTGCTCACGATCATGACCATGGGCACTGTGACCATGAATCGTGATGAGCCGCGAGTCGTGAGTCACTCATGTGACGTCGTTGTGAGTTCTGAGTCGTGACGGGTCGATGCCATGAACATCGCCTGGTACGCTCAGCAGACAATGCTAAAAAACAGCCCTCCAGCTGAAACGCTAGGTCAGTGACCTAAGGTCCCACCATGTAAGTCCTTCTGGGCCACTCCGTCATCGACTGGAACACGTTGTAGGCCGTCTCGTCGCAGGCCGGTGGACAGTGGCAGGTGATGTTCTGGTCCTCGAACTGCTGGCTGACTCTTGAAGTACACTTGGTGTCCGAGGCTGTTTTACATATATGCCGTTAGGAAAAATAAATTTGACGCTTCATTAGAACATACCTGCTTGAGGATGCAAAACAGGTTGCATCTTAACACTTTGTGGAGAGGGTAGGCATGTTTTGTAAAGTTAAGACAAGGCTAATGTGCGTGGTGAAAATTCGATTTTTTTGGACGAAAGGCCGAACACACATTCGCGTGCTTACATAAAATCAATCACAACAGAAAGCGCATATTTTTAAGCCACGCAAAGAAATGTAAAGGTTTGTTGGTCTGGCTACATGATATGGCAACGTGTAAAGATCCGCCTGAATGTGCGTCGGTAAAGCTGGCATGACATCCAGATATTCGGGTACTTGACACAGTCAGTAAGTACCAACCCCTTAAAAAGTAAGTACCGACCCCCTTAAGTGATCTTCTTGATGCGGCACTGGTTAAGCGGCCACATCAAGTAAAGGTTGGGTATATCAAGTTTAACCGACGTCAACACGCGCTCGGGTCGTGGGTCCACTCCCCTCTGAATTTTTTCCAAAATAGTTTTCCGATGGTGTAGCGTAACTAAGCCAAACTTGGCTTAGCTACACGCAACTAAATATCCGATCGTCTGGTATAGCAAACTTATACATACCTTTAAGTCCCTAATCTATGGCAGATCAAATTCAGGCCATGGCTATCAGCAAAAGCAATTCTTAGGAATTATCCAATATTTACGACAGCGAAGTGCTAGACGACTGTATTTAGCCTTGAGTCGGATTTTGACAATAATACAATCAAAGTTAGGACTACAACCAATCCCATTGACCTTTAGTTAGATGAGAAAGTCAAGTCGTAGTCAAAGGCTAATGTTTTTTATTGGATATCCTGCTAAATGGGGTCGATTTTGACGATAATTTACAGCTTTCTAATTACAGGTAGGTCAACATTTGCGTAATTCAAACTTTCAGTGACCTAGAATGACCGCGATCAACCATTTGTTTTTAGAAACATGCGGTCTAGCGTAATCTTACCCTTATTGCAATTCAAAAACCGAAATGATATCGCAAGTTGTTGGACACCGTGACCTTCTGAAGGTCAAATAAAGTCACTGAAAGAATACTAGTCACCTTTTACGTAGAAAAAGCATTTAGTTTAAGTGCGGTCGCAGGGGAAGGTCTGGGGCAGAGGGCGGCGCCACGGGCTTTGAGTTGGGCAAGATTTTTCATCGGGCCTTCTGGACAAAATAGGGCTTCCTCACGGGGGGCCTCCCGGGCAGTGTCGCATTCAAAAAGGAGTGACTCCGAAAGCATGCGCTCCCTTATCAAATTGTTACATGCTTTACATCCAAATAAATAAATGCCGACAGTAAACAATCCAGAATGGGGACCAAACAATGATCCAGCGAAGCGTCTCGCTATCATAAATTAAGGCTCCTTGTTCCAGAAAGGAACTCCTGATGCATAAAGCTGTCATCTAATCCAGAACAAAGTGATTCCGATTCGCGAGGGGAGCTCAGATCTAGCCATGGGGCTTCGTTATCCCAAATCAGGGCATCCTGATCCGAAAACGTGGCCATCTGATGCATGACAGTACCCCCTTTTCCAGAAATGGGGTCTTCTGAATATAGGGGGTGCCTCCTAACCAAGAACGGGAACACCCTAGCTTGTAACAAATGCCTTCTGAGCCAGCAAATGGGCTCCCTCAACATAGCACGGGTCTACCAATCTAGAGCATGGGCTACCTTATTAATAAAGGTGGGCTTATGACACAGAGAACGTACATTTTGTGCAGAAAAGGTCTTTTGAACCCATTGATCTTTCTAAAACTCAGTTATGGGAATTCCGTTGACCTGAATTTTGATCATTTGTGGGTAGCTACAATGATTGAGTTGGGAAACAGGGGCCTTCCTAAAATTTTGAGAGGGAAAACATACTCTCCTCCCCTACCAGCCGGCAGGGGCAAGAGTATATTTTATGGAACTTGGCGTGGAAGTTCCATAACGTAGGGGAACGTTGAACACCCACATAGAGTCGTATCTTCTTTGACCTTATTTTATCCACTGGTCATCACCCAGGAAGCTCAGAATTTGCCACAATTCATATTAAGGCCTACCTATCGCATGCTGCATCGCTTAATAATCACACTTAGAAGGATCAAAGCGGCGACAGTGTGTCACGTGTATCGCCCTCGCCTGGGTCCGATGGATCTAACTCATGCCGTCGCCATTTTTGCCAGTCTAAACAATGTCGTCGGAGAACGTTTTGCAGCGCTTAGTGTCACACCATAAAAGGTGCTGACGTAGTCCTAGAAGGACTATGTGAACTTTGTGATCCTCACACAGCGTGTCGTTTAGATGCCTTCATCGCCACCGCGATGAATAGCTCGGTTTACTCTGTTCTTATTTCCCAATAAAAGTTAAAAACTTTTGGAATAGTGCGTCTAAGCCATAGGGTAGATGTGGGGCAAATGTACTTGAGATCTCGCCCGGCGCAGCTTTTGACACTGTATATACACACACTTATGCACTGACACACATTTCGACCATTTTGTCTGAATGGTGATATGCACTGTGCTGAGAAGAAGCTACGAAACTGCGAGAATAGACTTGGTGGAGCGAATTTCCCGCAGACATAGGGCAGTGGACGTGCATCCACACTGAGGGAAAGAAGATGATAGCCCTTAGGATAATTCCTTTTTAGTCATCGCCCGCAGGACCCATGCTATATCTTTAGCAAATAGTGATTAAAAATATTCCCGGTTGTTGTGCCTTCATGCCGTACGGTGGCGCAATGCAAGGCACATGAGGATCTTGCATGGCGATAACTATTGTCTAATCAACTACAGGTAAATCAAGACGCTGTGGCAATATGTGTATACGAAGATAGTTGAAAATATGCATCAATCCTCGGAACAATTTTTGCCGAAATCAAGCAAAATCCTTCGCCAGTTCAGCGCAAAAACATGTGATAAGAACAATTATTGTTTGTGCTATCAGTGGACTGATTTTGCAACAATTAGACGCGTCAAAACTCTCTTAGAAATTTGATTCCAGAAAGCGAATTGTCGTGCTTGCCTCTGACGCGATCACACCGTTTTCGCCAGAACTCGTCTCGCATTACCTTTGGTGTACATGAGGCAGGCGCCTAATCATCTACAATCGTGAGAAATATTAATTTCAGAATAACGATGGTGTCTATGAGCCATAACAAAACGATCGTCTGAGGCCACTATTGTAGGGGCAAAAGGCCCGGATAGCCCATGGAAACCCAGCATAAAAGTAGAAAAAGCATGTTGCCAGCGAGTTGTTGTCATCTATGCCCTGTGAAAATAGGCGAGCGGCTAGTTGACTTGCCATCCACGAATATCGCGGCATTTTGCGGGGTTGGGGAAAGCCTAGTCCCGAACAAAACCCTGCATGTCTTGATAGTAAAGTGCAACGATACCTCGTTAAGTATAACGGTATCGATTGGTATAACGATATAACGCATGGTATAACGTATGGTATAACGACATCGATGGTATAACCTGAAGCCCTCGCAGAGTTATGAACGGTGACAGAGTTGATGCCGTCGAAGACAAATAACTCGCTAAGGCAGACCCGATCCGGGCCTCTGCACATGTGGGAAGTTGGCATGCGCTTCATCAGTTTAAAAAACTGCTCCAGCCTATCAGGGAGGTTGAAAATGCTTAGCATATCCCAGAGATTCACGTCTGAAATGTAATAAACCGTCTGCTTGCTTTTCAATATGTGCAGTAAAAGCGCGTGCAGTACAGTACGCGTTTCCCTTGTGTACATGTACTACGCGCGTCTGTACTGCACGCATCTGTGTTGCACGCGTCTGTGCTGCGCGCATCGAACAGCCCGCAGAAGACAATTTATCACATTTTCACACATAAACCTGTAGGAGAAAATAAAGAATGTGACTTTGAAACCCCATACGCTCAGCGTCCACAAACTCGTGATTAGGCCGGAATAGTGTTTGAACTCATGAAGCATATAATTTGTCACGGTAGACCAAACGGCTCCAAGATGTTAAGAAACAATCAAAATTCGAACGATGCGTGCTGCTCCGGCAATGGTTGATTACCTCCCTCCCTCGGAATCGAAAGCAGACGTGTCTCACCACACTTCTTTAAAGGGATGTGTTAATACCTTAACGACGTCAGAAAGCAATAGGTAAGTTAAATTCAGGCTGAAAAGGCGAAATCAAATATGTAAAGAACAGCGGCGTGCGAATACTTAGAGAGCTGCGTGAAAAACTCACTCACTCGCTCTTTTAGCATTAAACTTCACAGCGGCCAATACGTTTTAAGATGAAACCCATCGTTTCACATCGTGGTATCGCTTCACTTCCATCCAACCTGTAAATGTCAGTTACAGAATTGTGTGTTGAGAAAGCGTCAGCTATCAGCCAGCATGAGAGGGGTAAAACCACTCACTTTGCGTGGTAAGCAAGCAGGCTCGGTCGGGCAGGGCGGTCTGGTCGCTTTGCTTCTTGAAGGTGGTTGGCATTGGATACAGAGGATGGTAGCAGTTGCAAGTTTTCATAAACTCGTGCTGCAGGCACATCTTCTTGCAACGCTGCAATCGATGCATCATATGGCTGAAAACGTCACGCCGGTCCACTGCACAATCTTCAGTTACATTTTAGCGCCATGGAGCAGATCAACGCGCAGCTGCGGAAAGCAGCACACTGAGAAATATTACTATCCGTAATTGAAGGTGCTCTTTTTAGACTTAATCCTAAGTTAATCGAGTCAGCCCTAGCCCTGAACCACCATTTTTATAGCAAGGCTCGATACAGGTGTGGGAGGGGGGGGGGGAGGATGCGACGGCCCCGTCATTTCCAAGTTAAGAAAGGTAGAGCTAAGTTGAAATCCTAGCGCATTGATCTTTACCAGATTTTGTGATCAGAAATAGATTGCATGTTGCCAGATCAATAATTGGCCCGAATATACCAAGTCAAAGGTAAATTCCTCTCACAGACCTCACTTTTCAGCTTTACATGCTCATATGTACAAGACCACGCCACCTAGCGACGCAAAATCTTTGCATGGGTCTTTAGTTGGCATCGTAGAAAAGTTCTCTTTATTGCATGTTGGTGGAAGGCAAAATAGATTGAATATCAATACTTCAATAGCTAAATCTTTGAAGTTGAGTTTATTGGCACCTTTATGTTGTTGAAATTACAAATAATCACTCTGTGTGTGTGCGTGCGTGCATGCGTGCGTGTGTGTGTGTGCGTGTGTGTGTGTGTGTGTGTGTGTGTGTGTGTGTGTGTGTGTGTGTGTGTGTGTGTGTGTGTGTGTGTGTGTGTGTGTGTGTGTGTGTGTGTGTGTGTGTGTGTGTGTGTGTGTGTGTGTGTGTGTGTGTATGTGTGTGTGCGTGTGTGTGTGTGTTTGCGTCTATGTGTTTGTTCAGTCGCAAAACCACCATCTAAAATGCTGTCGTAATGCTAGCGACATCACGTGGTACTAGCCTCCAACTATGCTCATCTTCAGATCAAAACTTTGGAAACGTGCTGCAGCCGGTAACAACTGGCAAAAGGAAAATAACAGCGATCAGGGTGCGATATGGCAGGGCAGATGCTCTTCAAGTGGGCCTTTTCCACAAGTTTCCAAACTTGTATATGACACAAGTCAAGTTACAATTTTAATGAGTTTTTTTAGTCGCCATTACTGCAAAATGGAAGCACTGCCACCGTTCCACCTTTTCTTATGGTAACAGCCCTAGGGCACTATTGCCAGAAGTATCGCCTTAGCACGGACAACACCATGACCCGTGCGCTTCATGCCAAGATCCCGGGAGACATATGAAAGCGAAACATTTGCGATAATATCAGCAAACAGCCGGCAACTTGAAAAATAATGCGCAAGTAATGGAGAAGACAGCGTGACTTTCAGTGTTGCAGCTCGAAAAGAAGTTTTCGGTGGCTCCAGCCACTTGAAAATGCAGGACGCGTGCGGGAACCATGTAGCGTGACGACGGGTTGTCCCACGTAACAAAAATGTAGACTTGTTGGAACCAAGTGGCACGTCAGTGGAAGAACGTATGGTGTTTTCCTAACTTTGTTTTTCTCCCCTGACACGGCAGCAGACGGGAAGTTGCGTGAACGACGTAACAAGTTCATTACTTTGGTCAGCCTGCTTTACCGGCACGGAGTAGCTCTCGTGGATTTCCACAGAGCTGTTGTGCCTGTGTGGACGAAAGTCAACTTCGTTCCACGAGGAGATGCATTCCGACTTGTACGGATATGGCAGCCGCCTTATCACCGACTGGAATAGTCGCAGAACGCGTCTTGCTTATGCATGGTACAAGCTGATACACCCGATGAGCTGCGTAGCTGACTTGGATATTTTCCTCTTACGTCCAGGTTGCAGCTTGAGGCAGTAATGTCTGCAGTTTTCAACATCAGCACCGTGATCAAAAGCACAGAAAATCTAAGCGTTTAACGCTGCCTTAGCATATCCTGAACAAGCAAACTTGGCACATGGCTAGCGCGCGTCCTGTGTCACGCGACAGGAAGGTGGAGGTGAATCATGCTGCCGCCGGCCGGCCAGCCTGACCTGTTGCACGGCAAGCGAGGAGGCCGAGTTGGGGTAAAGGTTCAGGCCGGCCCGCTCCACGTCCGGGTGCTGGTCCGGGGCGTGGATGACGATGCGCGCCCCCTTGGTGGCCGCCTGCACCGGCGGGTACGCGATATGTTTCAGATCCAGCAGGATGTTCAGACCTGTCAAGGCGAGCTGCTCAGCGCACATGCTGGGATGCACTATGGTACTAAGTGGGACTTTTTGTGCGGAGTATCTCCTCAGACGGCTGCACCGAGCGATGAGTGTGCGGATGTATTTCGTAGGTCCAAGCGCAAAGTGGGCGTCATGAGCTTCTCCAGGGGAGACCATTGTTGCCCTGTGGCTGTCAAAATAATGACGGAGGGGGTAACGAAATTCACCTTTCACCACTGAATTATGTTCTTGCTATAGGAATTGCCGGTCGCCAATGGCGGATGCCACATTGGTTCGTGTATCGTCCTATGCCACGGAGCGTTTGCAGACTGAGACGTACATCAAGCGGCACCATACAATATAAACAGTGCGGCCGCGTCATCTTTCCGAGAGTAAACTGTTTGGAATATTTCAAATGAGCCGGCCATTCGTTTCCGATGCTACCTTGAAATGTTTTCGTACTCTGGTATGAAGCAAACCATCGAACATTCAGTGGGTCTCAAATATGCGCGAAAGGCATGCCAGTCGGCTTGGTCGTGAGCACCAATCAAGCAAAAACAACGACAGCATGCACATGGAATCACTATCATGACTTTGCGTGTCAAGCGAGGTGCGTCACTGGTAGAACCCACTGTACGTTTCGCCGGTTAGCCCAGTCTTCCGCTTGCCGGCCATCTTGTCATCCGAAGCCGTCACGTTCGAGTTAAATGTGAAGCAGTTGCCGTACAGCGGGGATGACACCGTTTGGAACAGACTGGAGCACAAACAATCACAGTGATGACATCGGAACAGCCGGGGCACAGGCAATCACAGGTGATGACATCGGAACAGCTGGGGCACAGGCAATCACAGGTGATGATATCGGGACAGCCGGGGCACAGGCAATCACAGGTGATGATATCGGGACAGCTGGGGCACAGGCAATCACAGGTGATGGTATCGGAACAGCTGGGGCACAGGCAATCACAGGTGATGATATCGGAACAGCTGGGGCACAGGCAATCACAGGTGATGACATCGGAACAGCTGGGGCACGGGCAATCACAGGTGATGACATCGAAACAGCTGGGGCACGGGCAATCACAGGTGATGATATCGGGACAGCTGGGGCACAGGCAATCACAGGTGATGATATCGGAACAGCTGGGGCACAGGTAATCACAGGTGATGACATCGGAACAGCTGGGGCACGGGCAATCACAGGTGATGACATCGGAACAGCTGGGGCACAGGCAATCACAGGTGATGACATCGGAACAGCCGGGGCACAGGCAATCACAGGTGATGATATCGGGACAGCTGGGGCACGGGCAATCACAGGTGATGACATCGGAACAGCTGGGGCACAGGCAATCACAGGTGATGACATCGGAACAGCCGGGGCACAGGCAATCACAGGTGATGATAGCGGCACCGGGGGGCACGGGCAATCACAGGTGATGATATCGGAACAGCTGGGGCACGGGCAATCACAGGTGATGACATCAGAACAGCTGGGGCACAGGCAATCACAGGTGATGACATTGGAACAGCTGGGGCACGGGCAATCACAGGTGATGACATCGGAACAGCTGGGGCACAGGCAATCACAGGTGATGATATCGGGACGGCTGGGGCACGGGCAATCACAGGTGATGATATCGGAACAGCTGGGGCACGGGCAATCACAGGTGATGACATCGGAACAGCTGGGGCACAGGCAATCACAGGTGATGACATCGGAACAGCTGGGGCACGGGCAATCACAGGTGATGACATCGGAACAGCTGGGGCACAGGCAATCACAGGTGATGACATCAGAACAGCTGGGGCGCAGGCAATCACAGGTGATGACATCGGAACAGCCGGGGCACAGGCGATCACAGGTGATGATATCGGAACAGCTGGGGCACAGGCAATCACAGGTGATGACATCGGAACAGCTGGGGCACAGGCAATCACAGGTGATGACATCAGAACAGCTGGGGCGCAGGCAATCACAGGTGATGATATCGGAACAGCCGGGGCGCAGGCAATCACAGGTGATGACATCAGGACAGCCGGGGCACAGGCAATCACAGGTGATGATATCGGGACAGCTGGGGCACGGGCAATCACAGGTGATGGCATCAGAACAGCCGGGGCACAAACAATCACTGATAATGATATCGACTAGCTGAAGTTATAGCCACACTTGGTTCTGTACTGCAGCACTCGTTCAGTTCATGAAATGCAACGTTCAGTTTCATAACCGTGACGTTTAGTTGATAGAAAGCAGCGTTCAGTTTCCTAACCGTGGCGCTCAGTCTATTGAACATAACGTTTAGTTTCTTGAACGATTGTTAACGATTTGTGCCACGTAGCTTCGCATTGAAAAAGCGTAGCAAATAAAAAGCTGGGCTAGATTTAAAGACAATGGATTAATTAAACTTAAGACTACTTCTGAACGCGTCATGGTAAATTGCTGACTCACCTGTCCATTCCATGGAACATCAGGCACGAAGCAAGAATAGATTTGATTAGGGGCTGTTATCCATCATTGGTGCCCATGATCCATCTTCTCAGTTTTGTTCCCAATGACACATGTGATAGTCTAATTTGAAGATCATGTAGGTGCTACGTCGTACACAAAAGTTGGCGAGACGGAGGCGCGACCGTACTAGTACGCGCTAATAGCAAATGCCTTAAGCAAAATGCGAGTGCAACATGGCTTAGACCGTGGCTTAGGCAAAGCCTTTCTCCAACATTGAGCTGACATGAGCAGACAAAATTACAGTACACAAGAAATGAGTGTGGAGTAAGGCACTGCGAGCACCAGAACAATGTCTACCGTAGGCATTCTAAAGTAATTATAAAATACAATATCGCCATGGGGCCTGTCTTGGCCTCTGTCCTTGCGCTGTTCCGTCCTCTGTCCTGTTTCGTCCTATCCCTCGTCGTAAGTGTGGCGGTTCAAAATGTTCCATACCTTAACATATGGGGATTTAAGGATTTACGTCGCAAGTTTCCGGTAAGTTTTGAAGCCAAAATGGCTTATGTGACAACTGCTACATTTCCAAAGAACTTAGGAAATCATTCGATGACATTAGAAACTAAACCCCAAAATCTTGCATGATCCATCAGAAAAAGTTGCAATAGATCATCGAAGTTAGAAAGCACATAGGATTTTTAGGCACGCGACTGTCATTAGCCATCCTAAATGGCCAAAGGCAGTCACAATGTCCACCCGGACGACCCTCACCCGAAGTTTTAGAGCTTCTGAGACCTTTGGAGATGACCCGAAGAAGCGGATGCGACAGAAAGCTACACAAGCAATCCTTAGAACATGCTTAACTTAGCATGACCACGAGTTGATAGCGGTGGATTCTTCCGGCCTTAGCAATGCGGCCGTCGTTGCGGCTGATTTTAGATGGGGACGCTGCCGCACGGTGTTGTTGGAGACAGCGGCGTGTTATCCTGGTTGACTGATGGCTGGTTTGAAGGGACCAGTATTCTTATGGACTTAGTGAGTGTGGAGTCCAGTTGCGTAAAAGAAGTATCTAAAGATACATGCAACATATCTCAAAACGCTTTAAGATGTTTTCAATTCACGCAGGTTTTTGCATTTCCTATGTATCTGTGAGCAACGTATCTACTGAGTTGAGCATGCGTACCTCTCATCGGTGCAGCTCGTTCCCAGATAGGTACACTCCTTGACGAAGTCGGAGAACGGGATACCGATGTCTGTCCTCTGCGCCTCCGACAGCGTCATGTAGTAAAAGAGGAAACGCATGTCGTCGTCGTACGTCTGACTGAGCGTTTCATCATCCAGATTCAGCCGCGGTCTCTTCTTCTCAAATTGATGCTCTGTCCGCCTTTTCTGTCGCCGCTTCTGGGGAGAGGAAGGGGGGAGAACCGTTGAGAGGAAATTGCTCAGAGCCTGAAAGAACCTCGATGGGTTGGAGCAACACCAAAATCAGTCTTGGAGAGCATGAAAAAACAGAGGCCACAACAGGAGGTTACAACAGGAGGTCTCCTTGGCCTTAGCGGTCTCCTCAATTACAACGACTCAGTGCGATGGACTTCTCCTTGATAAAATAATGGAAGAAGAAGGACGTCCTGCAGAAGCAACTCAGCTGACATGACCCAAAGAAAGTTGTCACAGAGGGATAAAGTGAATGTTCCCGATTCAAATATGTTAAGAGTAGCATTAGATATGATCGGAAACGCTTGTTTGTTACTATTGGTATAATTTTAAGTGCAAAAGACTGCTCTAGACAACGCGGTTTATTACTAGCACGCGCCCGGGTGGTTGATTGAATGCCCATGATTCGGGTACAGGGTCAATTTGCCCCCCCCTCCCCCCCCCGTAAGATCTCAAAAACTAAAATAGCTGGAGAGAACAAATTTACTGAGTAGATTAACCTTACGTAGAATTACTAGTGTCAAAATTTGAGGTGCCTAGGTCGTGACCTTTGGGTTACATAAGATCAAACAATGTCAGACCTCAGATTGGCGTTTCAAGTGCCCGCAGACCTCATGCACCCGCCTAAGCAAAAGTTGAATGAGGTCAGTAGCCTTGATGGACATTTATAAAGCCAAAGTGACCGAATACTTGCGAGATTGATCCTATTTTATAATTCGAATCAGCATCAAGGATTACGCTAGGTATGTTCCTAACAATAAATGTTCAATGTTTATGCCATTTCAGGCCAGCGACCTACTCTGACCTTCAAAAAATTGTAGGATGTCCGTTGCGCTTCCTATCACCAACGCATTTAAGATCAGCACCAGAAACTGCTCATAAATCAAGCTCTCGAGTAAAAACGCAGGTTAGTTGTGCCTTCGCTCTGGGCTTCGCACCTGACTCTAGGCCAATGGAATTGGTTGTAATTTTACATTCGATTGGTTTGTTGCTTAAGAAACGCTCAGATATGTACGGCTTCACCTAGCACTCCGCTGCTGCAGCCGACTGAACGACTCCCGAGAGACTACCATAGATCAGCGGCCCCATGACCTTGAACAATGTAAAGCTATTTTCACATGAAAAGACCCGCCATTCAGTTTTCTATAGCTATGCGGGCTACTCGCACGGCTGCGCCGCGCTGTTCTGAAAACATTCTGGAAAAAACCTTGGGTGCCAACTTGACCCCCACCCGAGCGCGTGCACAGTGACAATGACCTACAACACGTCACCGTGTGATTAAGTTATAGGATACTTTAATGACGTCAGAGTCCCTCCCAGATTAGCCGTGTCAAACCTGCCACCGTAGCCAACAGCCTGTCTAACTTGCGGTGCTTCTGAGGTGACGTTAATGAGCTTTGCGTGCATATTTGTTTTCGGGTGTTGTGTGCGTGTATTTTAACCCTTTCTCGTTATACTCTGCATATAAATTCGTGATTCGATATGTCTCACATGCAGCTGCGTCCTCTGTTACTGCGATTTCCGCAAGTTACTCGATTCCCAGCCTGATGTTCAGCTGCTTGGAAGCCGTCTGTTGCCAGTTGATGTGGCCATTCGTGCAGATGTGATTCAGACACGAATAAGTCACTGATCATATCTGTATTCATCTTGAAGACAGCAAGGCCATTGAGGTGGCGGAATTCATGTGATGTCTCTACGATGTCATACCTTTCTCTCTGTGACCCCATAACGCTCTCTCCTATTATACCTTTCTATCATACCTCGTCGCAGTGGCGAATCCAGGATTTCGTCAGGGGGGGGGGGGGGCACGAAACATTGTAAGGCTCCCTAAAGTTCGGGTCCCCATTCAAAAAATTGTTGCATTTCGGCCGTTAAATTTCTTTTCAAATGATATGTAGCATTTGTGCATATATGTCTGTAAATATATGCTTAATAAATACGGGAACTCATCGTACTGTGCACTGCCCTATAAAACTAGGTGTGCTACGTATGCACATACATGGAGCTCTTTCATTTTCTACAGATCGGGTCAAATTCTGTGATTTCAAAGCTAAGTGTTTCGGAAACAACAGGCCAAATGAACTGAAGCTGGCTGCCAAATACCATCAAAACCAAGCACGGGCTTGATTCCTAGCTTATTTAAGGCTAGCCAAGCAAAATGACACAAACGACGCCGGCGGCACGTAAAATTACGTCCGACAAGTGCGGGTAAAATTTCATCGGCGCATATCCGACTGCTGCTCTGAAGCTAAGGCACAAAGGCAATAGGGACGAAACCTGAGCGATCATGGGTGCCGCAGGAAGCTCAACAACAGGCTCCCGTCAGCAAGTAGAGAGCCCTCAGAGCAAGCAAAAAAAAAAACTCGAGACCAGCGTGGTGGGCCCCTTAACGACCGGTAGTGTCCCGACAGGCCGACATGGGAGACCCCGGCCAGAGCACAGGACTCTCTTAGCAAAGAGGAATTACCCAAGACCATGAATTAATATCATTGTGCGATCAAGAGTGCCCGGGCACGTTAATAGCAAGAGCCTGGACACCATTCAAATAGAGAGACCTCCATTCAAATAGGATGTACCCAAAATCCAGTGCAGAGGGCCCCCGAAAGGTGAAGTGTACCCGAGCGGATCATCAGATGGCCCCCATGAGGAGTGTAGGGCCATTAGTTCAAACATCGAAACCCAATATATAGGGTCACCGAAAATACAGTGTGGCCAAGGGGGTGAACAGATGGACCCCCGACAAGAGCGTGGGGCCCTCCATTCAAATAGGAAGTTCTTTAGACACAGCGGGGAAGGCCCCTGAACAATCGAGTGTGCCCAAGCAGGTTAACAGATGGGGTCACTGACAGGAGCGTGGGGCCTTCCGTTCAAATATGAAATACCCACGACACGATGTAGAGGACCGCGAATGATAAGCGCTCCAGAGCATGTTAACAGATAGAGTCCTGTCAGGAGCGTATGGCCCTCCATTCAAACAGAACCGACGAAGAGGTCCCCAAACGTGCCCGTCCCCAAACGAAGAGGTCCCCAAACGTGAATGTGCCCGAGCAGCTTGTCAGAAAGGGCCACGACAAGAGCGTAAGGCCCTCCATTCAAATAAGAAGTAAGTACCTGTTAAGGAGAATTTGTTGTATGTTGTGCACGAGCGTTGCCCACGCGACGGTGTATTTTTTAAGAAGGAAATAAAGCAGTCTTGGAAAGATAAAATAAAGAATTTGTCGCGTTTTGATAGTAAGAGCAGTTATTTTAGAACATGACAAATTCATTTATTGAACACTAAGTTAATTATAACGTAAAACACAACGCGAGAACATATCACAACGAAAGTACCCAAAACCAAGTGCAGAGAGCCCCCGAAAGATCGAGTGTGCCCGAGCAGGCTATCAGATGGCACCCGATAAGCGCGTAGAGCCTTAATCAAGTGACATAGGATTAGGGACGTCCTAGACCAATGCAGAGGGCCCATGCGCATATTGCGAGTGTATCGGGAGGTTAACCGGGACCAGTGCAAAGGGCCACTGAAAAACCGAGAATGCCACCGCACGTTAAACATATGAACCCCGGCTATAGCCCAAAAAGCGTTTCTGGCGATTAATAAGGGCGCCCCAGCGCGCTACCAGGAGGAGCCCAGCAACAGTGCGGGGCCCTTCGAACAAACACAAAGAAATCAAGAACAACGCGGAAGGCCTCTTAACGACCGGGGTGACCTTGCAGGCGGGCATATAAGTCCTGCGGAAACAGGATAGGTAGCATAATAAGGCTGAAAATCCTCAACTAACAACTCTTTCGATCATTGAAGATTTGTCTCTCTTCTCGTAGGCCCTTCACTTTCTCTTTCAACTGTTTTTGGAGCAAGGAAATCCAAAGACGTCCAATTGTGTTGTGTTTTGTGATTAAAAAGCTACACCTGCTCGATCCTATGCCAATAAGAGCCTATGGGCCCCATTGGGGCCCAAGGGGGCTATGACCCTGTGGCCACCCCCCCTGGATCCGCCCCTGCCTTATCATACCTCATCTCTCTCTCTCTCTCTCTCTCTCTCTCTCTCTCTCTCTCTCTCTCTCTCTCTCTCTCTCTCTCTCTCTCTCTCTCTCTCTCTCTCTCTCTCTCTCTCTCTCTCTCTCTCTCTCTCTCTCTCTCTCTCTCTCTCTCTCTCTCTCTCTCTCTCTCTCTCTCTCTCTCTCTCTCTCTCTCTCTCTCTCCTCTCTCTCTCTCTCTCTCTCTCTCTCTCTCTCTCTCCTCTCTCTCTCTCTCTCTCTCTCTCTCTCTCTCTCTCTCTCTCTCTCTCTCTCTCTCTCTCTCTCTCTCTCTCTCTCTCTCTCTCTCTCTCTCTCTCTCTTCTCTCTCTCTCCTCTCTCTCTCTCTCTCTCTCTCTCTCTCTCTCTCTCTCTCTCTCTCTCTCTCTCCTCTCTCTCTCGCTCTCTCTCTCTCTCTCTCTCTCTCTCTCTCTCTCTCTCTCCTCTCTCTCTCTCTCTCCTCTCTCTCTCTCTCTCTCTCCTCTCTCTCTCTCTCTCTCTCTCTCTCGCTCTCTCTCTCTCTCTCTCTCTCTCTCTCTTTTCTCTCTCTCTCTCTCTCTCTCGCTCTCTCTCTCTCTCTCTTTCTGTGACGTCATACATCTCTGCCTGCCTTCACCTTCAAAATAGGCGACACGAGGTAGCCTGCAAAAGTTCGCGTGCGCCTAGCTCAGAAACGAGAGCTTTTGAACTCTACATAGGGAGATAATTGTAAATTACTGTGAATGCTCTTAAGAATGAACAAAACGGATCTTTGTTGTTGTATTCTGTCCTTCGTGTATCTACGTGTGTCAGTCCATTTGAGCCAATCCTGGCAACGGCATATCAAACTTCACACAGTGATCGCCGCGATGAGTCCCCACAATTAAATATATATATATATATATATATATATATATATATATATATATATATATATATATATTCAAGTCTTATTATCATATTCGAGTCTTACGTGTTCTACCTGCTCGCACCCCCTTCAGTTAGACAAGTCATTCAGACACGAGCGCTGCGAGACGGTAACTGTCTTAACACGCGAGACGAGCAGGCGACGCCGACCCCGGCGGGCGGCGCCCCAGGCAGTACACCGCCGGTCGGGGCGGCGGCGTACCGAGGTACACCAGCACTGGCAGCGCGAGCAGGGGCGGACTCAGGCGCACGCCAGTAACATCACGGCACATGTAGGAAGATTCACTTGATGGTAGGGGTCAGGGCTCACACAACAAGCACTACTTAGTCTGAGCTCTGATCCCAGAAGTCCATCCCTTCAAAGGGTTCGGATCGAATCTTAAAAAAGACGGAAGACAGCGCGAGCTGACCAACGACAGGGATGCTGTTGGCTCAGTTGTGAAAGGTATCCCAAATCAAACGGGGATAAATCTGTGTGAGGATGCTTTATGCTTCAGTAATGACTTTGATGAAGCCACGGTCACGCCAGGGGTGCGCGCAATCAAAAACAGCGGTTTGAAAATGGAAGAAGTGCAGTGTTATGTCCCAGTTGTTGATGTCATGATGCTGAAATTGGTAGGAGACCTTAGAGAATATCAAAATAAGGTTTGTAGCGATTTTCGAGAGATCAGCAACAAATGATAAAATGTTGGCACCTGGCTTCCCTAAAGATCATGGCGTTCCCACCAGGCGTTGCAAATATGTAGCTCCTTATTGCAACATTTCTATGATAAGTAGGACTGTACCCACATAGCCGCAAGGCAAGTACAATCGATGCAAGATAAAAACCATGTCACCAACATACGTGAATTACATGAGCAATTAAAGTTAGATATAATTTTGAACCCGCCGCATTACGGTCTTACCTCCAAACTGGTACCTCCATGTTGTGGCTCCTTTTCTGGCGACATCTGCGCGCCTGCGGGTGTGGAAAAAGCCGTCATTTCACTCTTCAGATCGGCGTTGAACGTTAAGGAATTTCGCGTGATAGCGTCTTGCTCCGTTGTCCCCGTCAGCTGCTCAGTTTCGTCACCGGTATCCGCCCCACCAAACGTAGGTGACGTCTCCGAGTCCGCAGACACGGCCCCTTCTGTGCGCCCCACGCTGCTGTCAGCAAGAAGCAGATCATCTTCATCATAATGCGTATCGTATTTTATTCCCTCGACGTCTGATGTTTCTGATGAGTCCAAGGCCGAATTCAAGATTCCGGACGTCTGCTCTGTGCCAGTGTCCGGCACACTTTCTGGAGCTGCGCCTGATTCTGGATTTCCTGTTTCAGCTCCGCCTCTGTCGCCCCCTTCGGCCGGTAGTGGCGGAGTGTCAATGCCGCCATCTCCGAAATCTCGGTCGTCTCCCTCTTCCCGTCTCCCGTTCTCGTTGTTTGGGGGCGGCGGCTCGATTGGCGGACAGGTGGAGTTGCATCCCATCGCAGCGTACGTGGCTGCATTTTTTGCTGCATCTGCCGGCGGATGCCTCCTGGACCAGTTCTTGTAATCTAAGCACTTTCGACATTGCAGACAATGGGGCTGAAAAAGCTTGATCCACTCGGGCGTCACAGCACCCGCGACGAGCCTCCAGACCTGCGGACAACCAAAGCCAGGTGCTTCGAGACAGCTGGACTTTTTTAGCACCAGCCGCAGCATACGACTGGGGCTGGCGTGCAGCGAGTGTTTCACCAGCTGCTCGCAGTCGAGCCTGTTCTGGTTGCAGACGGTGACGGCCGGGAAGTAGGCCGAGCGCTCGTGCACCACATCCATCCGCGTGATGTGCGGGTGCTCCAGGTACTCCCGGATCACGGTGATCACGTCTATCGCCGTGAAGACCACGCCGACCGCGAACAGCGCCAGCCAGACTAGACGGAGCGGCCTGTACGGCGAGTCGTGCGCGTGCGACAGGCCGCTGATGCCGGTGCGGGCCCAGAATTCGCGGGTCGCGTCGACCACGACACGCCGCAGCGTCGGCCGCCGCTCGGCAGCGGCGCCGCCGAACGTCATGGCTGCGTTCTGGCGCCGGCCAGCTCCCTCCAGCCCTCTTATATAGCGACCAAGTGCGCGGCGCAGGTGCCGAGGCAGTTCATGTGGACAAAGCGAAAAATAGATGGAACGGCCGGGCGTGGGCGAGCGGGCGCCGCCTGACCGCACATTGGTCACCACAAAGCCAATGACACCCGAAATCGTTAGTCGCTGCGTAAATACCCATGACAGTTGGCAGTTGTTTGGCTATAAGCAGAGCGAGTCAAGCAATCAACGGCTTTGCAAAGCTGCGTGCCCTTCATTGACTGCGTGTACAGGCAGACCTGCTGTCTGCATTACGACTGGGCCGTTGATTGATAGAATTCACTGCCACCGCCAATTCAAATTGCCAGCTGCTGTGAGCGCGACGCGTGGTCCACGTGACCCAAAACGTGGGACCACTCAATAGCCAGTTCCAGTCGGTTCTGACGCATGACACTCCCAAATCGCTTCTCACCGTTTGTGGCGAAATGTGGTGCGAAACGGGAAAATGGTCGTAAGCAGCAAAATCCGCCTTGCCAGATCGTGTGAGCGCTACACAGTGGCACGTGCAAAATCAAAGGTTGCACCACGTGGGTGCCCGATAGATTATGTCCTAGAATTCCACTCTCGAAACGATGCTCTCCCTGGGTGCTAAGGCATCGCAAAAACGTGTACATTCGTCGTAAACAACCAGCTCCATTTCCCAGCGCGTGTGCGTCATGACACGTGGTACCTGTGAGCTAATGTTTCCACCAGACTACTGACAGTTACATTCCTTACCAAGGCATGCCACTTCTGCGTCGCCCAAGCCTTCAGTGCCCAGATGAGGCCCAAATCGTGACCATCGTTGAAAACGGCGAAATCCATCCCGCCAGCTTGCGTGAACGCGACGCATGACACTTGTGGTTGGATCATTAGCACCACACAATGGCCGTTCGATTTCTTACTGACTCATGCTATTCCCTAAGCGCTCCGTCACATAAGTGCCAAAATGTGGCGCAAACCGTGAAATTAAGTTGCTTTTTGTAAACGCAAAGGAAAATAAGCTTAAAAGGTACCATTTGGCAAGGCATTCTTTTACATTCGATGCCCCATCATAGTGTGCTACTCTCGGGTCGTTTCATGCCCTGGACACCGAGATATCGCAAACACGTGTAACCCGTCGAAAGGAGCCAAGTCTTTAATTAAATATGTCAGTACCATGACACGTGGCATGCATGACCACTCATTATCATCTTGCCCGCTCATTCACTATCAAAGTGTGCCACTCCCGAGTATGTCCGGGTGCCGAGATGTGGCACAAAACGTGTAAGCACGTGGAAGAGAACAAATGGAGGGTTTTGATAGAATAATTTTTGTTCGCCCTTGTCATATCTTCTATGATAATTATAGATAAACATATAATATAAAACTAGAACAAATATCATGCTTTTATAATAATTATGTATTTTATGACACAAAACGTTTTAATTTATATAATTCACCTATTAGAACACATTACTCTGTCATAAACCTCCACTTCGAAAACCTTGAGTTTCTGCTGGATTGCTTGAGGCTGTCGCGAAGCTGCACATATTTCGAAAACGGAATGCATGCCATAGAAGCGGCTCAGATTTTTCCATCGGTAATAAGCAGCGTGAAGTTTGGAAACGTGTATTATAACCGAGTATGTTTGCCAGTTTGAAAGGTCGTTTTTTCGCCGTCCTTGAATACTGCGCTTGCTACCGCCTGGCCGGCCGGGTTGTGCTGCTGCTCTCCAGTTAAGAAAACAAATGCTGTACGCAGCTATTTATGTATACCATAGGACCAGGCGATCTCGTGCACTCATGCCACCGGATTCAGCTCCGCCGGAGTCTGTTGCACACAACTATTTATTCTCACGTCGAGATGTATTCTCCTGGGTTGGGTTTTGAATACATTCAAAATGTTGCTTCATGACTTGTTTCGATGTCCTATCTGGGGAAGAGCACATCCCCAATGTGGCCAAAAATGCAATGGCATCCTTCTCGGCTTGTGAAAAATTTGACACCACATCATGCCCGAAGCCCACAGAATCTTGGATCAATGACGTGTCTTTACCCATATGCTGTACTGCCTCTCAGTCTGTGGCGCACTTGGTGTGCGTCAGCTGCTCAGGGTCAGTAAGTGACGAACCACGGGGCTAGACGTGTGCGTCATCAGACTCTCGCGGACACGTGTGCGTCATCGCAATTCGCCAACCATGAAGGCGCCGGTCTGGCGCCGTTCGCGTAACCCCGCCACCCGCCGTGACAGCATCGGTGTGTTCAGGGCGCTGAGAGGTCCGCATGCTCCTGGGGCAATCCACTCATTAAACACACGAGCTTGCGTGTCATAGCGCACCACCCAGCGGCGCTGGCATGTACTCTGGAATTGTCAGTCGCTTGTCAGTGTGGCACCGCATGTGTTCTTTCGTCCCGAAACTGCCTGCCGCCGGCCATCGCTGGCTCTCGGTCATGGTATGAATCCGTTAGCAAACTTGGCTCCGTTGAATCATTAAACACGGTATGCTGTTTTTGTTTTTATCATACTTTTGTAGTACTTGTCTGATCAGTATTCTGGTTTTGCGTGCGGTGTTGTAAGATGCTTTCATACCATGCAATTGCTGTGATCAGATAGTAAATCACTGGTTGAAATGTTTTCTCAATGAATTGGCTTTACTCGAAGTCAGAGTCAAAATCAGCTAAAAAGTCTAAAAAAAATGACAAGGAAATTTCACGACCACCGACCAACGCCCGGTCCATATTTTAACACGCGCTCGGGTGTGGGTCAAATTGACCCCCCCCCCCCAAGGTTGTTCCCGATTTTTTTCCGAACGACGCGGCGAGTTTTGCATACCTGTTGACAACTGAATAGCAGATGGTTTTGTATCAAACGTTTAGATGTAGATCGTAAGATCGCTGACCTATGGCAAATCAAATTCAGACCATGGTTTCAGCGAAGGCAATTTCCAGAGAATTGTTCAATCTGATCCAGCAATGGAGTGTTAGACAAAACCATACATCTCTGAGATACTTTCTACGGCAGCACGAAAATCGAATGAACAAATTACACTGGCCTAGGGTTATGCATGAAGGTCAGTCCAAGGTCAAAACCAAACTGTTTTATTACATTAGAGCTTGCTGTATGGGGTATATTCTGGTGCTCATTTCAAATTTATTGGTAGCGGGAACCGCATTATGCATCTTTTATGAAATTCTTAAAGGTAATAAGTGGTCACGGACCTAAAATGACCCAGGTCAACGTTTTGTTTTTAGGAACATACTGCCTAGAAAAATCTTTGTCGCTTATTCAACTCCAAAACTCAAACCAGTCTTGTATAATTTTGGACACCATGACCTTCAAAAGGCAGAGCAAGGTCACTGACCTTAAATGAGCATGTGACCTTTTGCTTGAGCAGTTATCTAGGTTCCAGGGAGCCCTTGGAGACCAACCTGGAATTCGGCCTTATTTGACCCAAAGGTCGTGACTTATGAACCCCAAACCTTGACTTAATGAGTTCACGTAAAGGCCAGCACACCCTGTGAATTTGGTGGCTCTATCTCTCTTAGTTTCTGAGATCTTAGAGGGTCCAATTGACTCCCCAACCGAGCGATGGGCATCCAACAGGCCACCCGGGCGCGTGTTAACAACAAAGTGTGGCAACGACACTTGAGTTGCGCAGCTAGATGCAAAAGCGAATGGGCCCCCGGATGATTATAACATGTGGTGCCATGTGGCACGTGGCACGTGCACGCATGTTGGAAACACGAATTGGCCGTTTTTGACGGGTTTTGTATTTTGGGTCACCTCTCGGCAGCCAGTGCACCTACAAGCGAGTGTTGACCGCTTCATTTTGTCTCTTTTCGACCCTTTTGTTGATCACATTTTGAAAGACTAATGGTCTGCATGGCGGCTTTTTACGCCGCGACGGAATAGTGCTGTCCCGTCTCCGGCAGCCCCCGGCTGTTGTTTCAAGGTCTGACGGCCATCTGCACACGCGACTGGCCGCCTATTTCACCGCCTCCGACCAGTTATTTAGATTTCGCGCCGATATCTCTGCAGCGGCGGATCGGAGCGGCACGGGAGGGGTACGAAAAGATGTCTGTGCAAAATGGTGCGGTCGCATTTATCATGTGTGACGCGCATCCAGATCGATTTTGTTCTCTTCCACGTGTTTACACGTTTTGTGCCACATCTCGGCACCCGGACATACTAGGGAGAGGCACACTTTGATAGTGAATGAACGGGCAAGATGATACTGAGTGGTCATGCATGCCGCGTGTCATGGCACCGGCATATCTAATTATACACTGGGCTCTTTTCGACGGGTTACACGTGTTTGCGATATCTCGGTGCCCAAGGCACGAAGCGACCCGAGAGTAGCACTCAATGATAAGGCATCAAATGTAAAGGAGTGCCTTGCCAAACGGTGCTTTGTTAACTTATTTTCCCTTGCGTTTACAAAACACCTATTTTCACGGTTTGCACCAAATTTCGGCACTTATGTTACAAAGCGCTTCGGGCATGGCATGCGTCAGTAATGAATCGGACGGGCCATTGTGTGGTACTAAACATCCAGTCACAAGTGCCACGTCTCACGTCTACACGAGCTGCCAGGATGGATTTTGCTGTTTTCAACGATAGCCACGATTTGGGCCTCATCTGGGCACTAAAGGTTTGGGCGACTCAGAAGTGGCATGCCTTGGTAAGGAATGTAATTGTCAGTAGTCTGGTGGAAACATTAGCTCATACGTACCACGTGTCATGGCGCACACGTGCTGGGAAATGGAGCTGGTTGTTTACAACGAATGTACACGTTTTTGCGATGTCTTGGCACCCAGGGAGAGCATCGTTTCGAGAGTGGAATTCTAAGACATAATCTAACGGGCACCCACGTGGTGTAACCTTTGATTTTGCACGTGCCACTGTGTAGCGCTCATACGATCTGGCAAGACGGATTTTATTGCTGCTTACGATCATTTTCCCGTTTCGCACCACAT